TCCTTGATCTTCACCAAAGTCCTCCTAATTCCCAAATGTCCTCCAGAAGATCCATCATGGAACGCTTTTAATACATCCCTTATTTTTGAACCAGGCACCACCAATTGCAAATGCTCGTCCTTGCCGTTTGTTGATTCCCATTTCCTGCACAGAAGTCCGTTATGCAGCGTAAGGCTTTTCCACTGTGCCCATAAACCTTTCGTTACCGCGCTATATTGGGCGACGTCACTCCAACTTGGCTTGTTACCACTTCGTAGCCACTCCAGTATTGGTTTAATATCTGCATCTCTTTCCTGTTCTAATTTCATCGCATCATCTCCCCATGCCTCGTCAACAGTATCAGTCCTTATCACCTTAAGAAAAGCAGTTTCCTTCTTGGCACAATGCTTGCAATCTTCCACGCATGGGCGTCTCGATAATGCATCTGCGTTGCCATGAATTCTTCCGCCGCGATGTTTGATATCAAAGTCAAATTCCTGAAGTTGTTCCAACCATCTGGCTACTTGGCCTTCGGGATCCTTAAACTGAAGCAGCCATTTCAAAGCAGCGTGATCAGTTCTGATCAAAAATTTCCGTCCCAGTAAATACTTCTTGAAATGGTGCAGAGTTTTGACTACGGCCAGCAATTCCCTCCTGGTCACGCAATAATTCCTCTCCGGCTTGGATAGTGACTTGCTGAAGTAAGCAATAACCTTCTCCTGCTCACCATCGCGTTGTGAAAGGACACCTCCTATTCCAATATTGCTGGCATCCGTATCTACTACGAATATTCCTTTCGCGCTGGGGTATCCGAGAATTGGTGTGTTACAAAGCTCTTCTTTTAGTTCTCGAAAGGCTTGCTCACAATCCTCGTCCCAGATAAAGGCACGTTTCTCCTCTGTCAATCTGAGATGTCCGAGAATCCTTTCACAAACCGCCGATAATACGAGCACAATCCAAGAAATGCCCGAACTTGCGTTTTGTCTTTAGGTGTTGGCCATTCCTTAACAGCGACAGTCTTGGCTGGATCAGTCTCAATTCCTCTCTCAGAAATAACATGTCCTAGATAATTCACTTCGCGCTTGAAGAAAGAGCATTTCTTTGGACTCAACTTTAAATTTGCTCCACGCAGCTTGTCGAGTACCTTTTCCAATTTACTTAGATGATCGTCAAAATCCCGTCCAACAATGATGATGTCATCGAGGTAAACTAGGCAGGTTTCGCCCAGCAGTCCCGCCAGCACCTGTTCCATCAAACGCTCAAAGGTTGCCGGTGCATTGCATAATCCAAATGGCATCACCTTAAATTGCCAGAGTCCCTTCCCAGTTGAGAATGCGGTCTTTTCCTTGTCCTTGGGATCCAAATCCACCTGCCAATAGCCGCTTTTCAGATCGAGCGTTGAAAACCATTTCATGCCACTCAATGTGTCAAGTGTGTCATCGATTCTTGGTAACGGGTAGCTATCCTTCTTGGTTACATCATTCAATCGTCGATAGTCTACGCAAAACCTCGTTGAACCATCTTTCTTCTTGACAAGCACGACAGGTGAACACCAAGGGCTAGAAGAGGGCTCTATCACGTCATTTTTCCTCATATCGTCAATCATTTCTTCAACCTCTTTCTCACGAGCGAATGGTATGCGTCTGGGCCTTTGACGAATTGGCATTGTATCACCTGTGTTTATTTTATGCTTCACCAAACCAGTTCGGCCAATATCACCATCGCTTCTTGAAAACACATCAGAGAATCGAAGAAGTAAATTTCTAGCTTTCATAGTCTCCACTTTTGTCAGACTTTTGTTTTCGTCTAAGATTTTCGTTACAAAGTCAATTCCCGTACTGTCCTTCTTCACAAGATTCTCCGAGCATTTTCTTATCCAGGCCACTTCTTCCAATACGCCCACAGGCTCTCCTTCTTCAATCGTAATTTTTGAATCACTGAAGTTGAATACCGGAATGCGGTTGACATCAGATGACCCCACGACAGTTCTTGCCGGTAGCCATGAGCTTACGTGTTCCGATTTATCAATCACAGCGCACCTTCGAGATAAACTTCCTTCCTTCCTCCTAGGTAATGCGATTGGTACGAGAGTCTGTGATTTTGGTGCAAGAACAGTTCTTCTTAAACAGCAAACTTTTCCCAGGGTTCCACCCTTCATCGGAATTTCCTCAGTTCCACATAGTAATACTCCAGATTTTAAGTCGATGTTACACTGGTGCCCTTGCAGGAAGTCAAGTCCCAGGATGCAGTCATCCAGAATTTTGGCTACAATAACCTCATGTCGATAAACACGTTCCCCAATTTTGATTGTTACATGCAGTTTTCCACTTATCGGTATGCACTGGCCGGTAGCTGATTTCATTTGTAGGCCAACAATTGGTTTAAGGTGTTTCCTGATGTTTTGCTCGAGCAGCCGAACATTTATCACCGTCCTTGAAGCTCCAGTATCTAATGTTAGCTGACTGTTTTTCCCATTTACTTGACCGTCTATCACCAGAGTATTTCCATCGTTGGTTTGCTTGATGTAGATTGTTGGGGTTGTTCCACTACCAGCCAGCGCCCACCCCGCAGCCCTGGCTGGATTTAAGTTTCCCTGCTGGTCAGAAGTTGAGACCGCCGCGTCCTGGCGGTTCATCTTCTTCGGGCAGTCGCTCCGTATGTGCCCACGCTCTCCACATCCATAGCACATGAAGTTCAGACGGCGTGGAGGTACCTGCTCCGTTGTCGTCATTTCCCGCAGACGTAAGGTACGGGAGTTGCCACGCACGGCTTCCACTTCCAATGCATGGGCCAGAGCTTCTTTCATGTTCTTGTGATGGCCCAGATGAACAGCAGCTCGTACTTCTGGGTCCCGAATACCGTCAATGAACGCTTGGAGAAGCGTGCCTTCAATCATTGACGGAGTCGACCGGAAAGCTCGACGCACAAGTTTCTCGATTTCCACGGACCATTGCTGTAGGCTCTCATTAGCACGCTGAGTACGCTCTTTTAATTGCGCTCTGTACACGTGCTCGAGGCGGCTGTCTCCAAAACGTGCTTCAAGTGCGTCGAGGAGGGCACTAAAGCTGAGATCCCCACTTGCGCCGATAGCTTCCAGCACTGACAGCGCTTGATCACGGAGGGCCAGGGTGAGGGCTGACTGTGCTTCCTTCTGAGTCCAACCATAAGCCTCCATAAGTGTCTCAAACTGTAGCTTGAACGCGGTCCAGGATGTTGTTCCGTCGTAATGGGGAATCTTAAGCCCTTTCGTTGCGCTTAAGGCCGCATTTGGGGCGTCAAAAACGGCTGCAAGACGGCTTCGGCTCTTCAAAGGGCTTGGGTTTGTCACTTCCTGCTTGATTTTGGAGATCTCTTTTTCCACTCTCTCCTCTATCGCCATGACGCGATGTTCCAACTTGCCTAAACCTTCCTCCACTTCTTGTACCCGTTCAACAGCCTTTTGCAGTCCCTTCGTGAAATCTTTATGCATGTCTTCCAAGCGACGCACTTGCTCCTCTTGGCGACGAGCTTGATCTTCTTTCAGCTCCCGCAGCTGTTCTGACTGACAGCGTGCTTGCTCTTCTTGGCGGCGCGCTTGCTCTTCTTGGCGGCGCGCTTGATCTTCTTTCAGCTCCCGCAGCTGTTCTGCCTGACAGCGTGCTTGCTCATCTTGGCGGCGCGCTTGATCTTCTTTCAGCTCCCGCAGCTGTTCTGCCATCATTTGCTGCAGCTGTAGCAGAAGATCCACCTGCACAGGCTTGGCTTCTGCATCGCTGGTTTGAGCTGCAGCACCCTCTTCCCTCACACGCTGCGCTTCTGACATAGCACGGGTACTTACTCCTCTTACGTCCTGCGGCACTAGCGGCATTTTTCTCCAATCCCACTTCTGACACCAAATGTTACGTGCCTGACGTCACGTTCCTGACGATGCAGGCTTGGGTTACGGGATTGGATAAATTAAACACTAATACCGGTTTTCAAGACTTTCTATTGCACTTAAATGACAGTGTCCACCGAGTTAAGTTTTCGGCGTTCCTCTCCGGCAGAGTCCGGGCGACTGACACAAACTTCCGTTTGCCGCTCACAGTTCACGCTGACTTTCACTTAACTCACTGCACTTCACTATTTCACTCACTTTTCTTCTTTTTCACTTCTTCCTTTTCTTCCGAATCGCTTTAGACTTAGAACTCAACTGCCAGCGGTGAGCCGCAGTTCCGCTTATATACCCCTGGTCAGGTTCTAGAACATTCAATTTCGTTATTCTTTTTGATCGTCATGCCTCCAGAACCTTCCAATAATTTCGTTATTCATTTTTATTTATTCTCCTTCTCGCTCCTTAATTTTTCATTACTTTCACTCAAATATTCCAGAAAGTTCGACAAAACTTCCATCAACTAAAAAACTTCATGTTTACGGCGGGTCTCGAACTCGGGGTCTCTGTGGTGTAATCCACACGCCTTACCGATTACACCAACTCGTGTTGACAATTCACGACGAAATTTACAATCTCTAGGCAACGTTTGACAACCATCCATTGACGTCATGATGTCAAAGAGTTTTCTGTCACATTATTTTGTGTAGTATTTTCTTTCCAGGATCTTAAACACTATTTAGACTCGTCTAAAAATGGTGTGATATACCTTAGTTTTGGCACAAATGTTGATCCTAAGTTATTGCCATCACATTTTATACAAACTCTCATTAATGCATTATCAAAACTGCCTTATGATGTACTTTGGAAATGGAATGAAGATGAACTCCCTGGACGGACTGAAAACATCAAAATTTCAAAATGGTTGCCACAGTCTGATTTGCTGAGTAAGTAGCTGTGTAATTTACTTCTATTGTTTGTCACAATATAAGAATTTATTAACTTGATTAATAAAATGAATGTTTGTTTAAGTAAAAAAAAGATTTACGATTTTCGATTTTGATTCGAAAGGATCTAAAATTTTGAAAAGCAAAATAAATACAAGCACTTAATTTGATATACAGATTACTAAACCGGTATGAGTTTTTTATTCAAATTACTTGTATTCAAAATGAATTGTTTTGCTTGCAATAATAAAATTGCATTAGGAGATCTCCTGAGGTGTACTGCATGTAAGACGGATTACCATTATGCTTGTTTTAATATTATATCGGCTACATTCAGTGAGCAAAAAACCCAGCTGATTAGGTCGTACATTTGCTATTCCTGTTCGAATGTTACTCGTCGTGTACGAGTAACAGATGATACACCGGTACGCGGCTCCCGCTCTGAAGCCGCTTTGATGGAAGAGGAGGCAACTAAAAGTTGTGAAGAGAATGATTTCGTCGGAAATACTACGTCGTCAGCAATGAATATGATGGATAGTATCCAGAGTGTTACGGAATCATTAAAAGGCGTAATATCTGCCAGACTAAATACTATTGAAACCAAACTTTTACAGGAAATTAAGAATTCAGTAGCAACTTTGGTTATGGAAAATAAAAAGTTGCGGGAAGATCTAAGTGCAGCTAATAAAAAGTGTAGTTGTCTGGAAGAAGAAATTAGATATATGAAGAAAGAAAGGATTGTCACTACGGCGGCGCAGCCGAACGATACGTTGCCGCGGGATTCCGAGAATCGCCCCGTGCGCACTCCCGCGAACGCGCAGTCCACCGCCGCGTCGACCGTTCGGGCGGCCGCGGGCGCGCCTTCGCTGCCGGCCGTGTGCGCGCCTGCGCCTGCCGCGCCTACCTACGCGGCGGTGGCCAGTAAAACAGCGGTTACGGGAAACATCAATGATAAATGGACTGTAGTAGAAAACAATAAACGGGATAATAACCCGGTAAAGAAAGGTGGTAACACTTCCATCACATCGTTGAAGGCAGCCGAACGGAAAAGATATCTACATGTATGGAGGTTGGACAAAAGTACTACGGAAGATAATATTAAGGAATATATTAAAGAAATATTAGGAAGTAACTCGGAATTTATAGTAGAAAAGATAAGAACAAAAACTGAGAGAAATTACTCATCATTTAGAATAGGTTTACCAGAAACCAGCTTTGATAAACTTTGTAACACTGATGTTTGGCCTATAAATGTAGAGTTCAGCGAATGGTTTTTTTTTCGACGATCAACCAGAGCTGCCGCATACAACACGCGAACAGACACATAGTAAGGTCTATAACATTTTTTACCAAAATGTTAGAGGACTAAGAACTAAAACATCAAGGTTTTTATCGCTACTGGAATCGTCGGAGGCTGATATGTTCGCTATTACTGAAACCGGATGTAATGAATCAATTTACGATTCGGAAGTTTCACTACCAGGGTACCAAATACTACGATGTGACCGAGCGGACGGACGCAAGCAGGGCGGCGTACTTTTAGTGGCCACACCTCGTTTCGAATTGCGAGAAGTAAAAATGCCACATGACATAAATATTGATTCTCAACAATTTGAAATAGTATGTATTTTATTTGTATGTTGTGTAGTGTATATACCGCCAAAGGCAGAAGAGTCTGAATATATGTTAATGTTTAGTTTGTTAGAGAAATTATGTATTAAGTACAACAGCAATGTTGTAATTTTAGGAGATTTTAATTTAGTTTCGTGCAATAGTAATGTTAGTAGTTATTTTGAATATTTTGTGGCCTTTTGTGAGATCGCTCAGTGTAACATGGTACCGAATTGCAATAATAGGCAACTGGATCTAGTGTTGAGTGGGCGGAGCGCGGTGACGGTGTGCGCTGCGGACGAGGGCCTGCAGCCCGTGGACGCGTACCACCCGCCGCTGGCGGTCGGCGTCGCGGCCACGTCTGCGCGGTGTGCGCTCACACACTCCACTCCCGCAGCTCCCGAATCACAACCGCAGCCACAATCACAATCTCAGTCACAGTATAAGAAATGGAATTTCCGTAAAGCAGATTACAGTAAGTTATACAATTTAATTAATTTAATAGACTGGACGGATTTGTACTCCATTCGAGACCCGGATTTGGCTTTAAAATTCTACTATAACAAAATATATGAAGCCTTTAATAATAGTATTCCTCCAAAAAATAATAATCTTAGTAAACGAATTTATCCAGAATGGTATACCTTAGAACTTATCAAACTAATTAAATTAAAGTACAAGTTGCATAAAAATTATAAAATAACCAAATGTCCGAGTGATTATGAGGCATTCTCTCGCTGTCGGGCAAGGGTTAAAGTGGATACCGCGAGTTGTCACTTGAGGTATAAAGATCGAGTACAAAATAATCTAGCTAATGACCCTAAGTCATTCTGGAATTACGTAAGGTCAAACAAAAACGCTACTAGTCAGTACAAATTAATTAAAGAGGGACGAGTTTTATCAGGTGATGAATCTGCTAAGGAGTATGCACGATTCTTCCATTCTGTGTACAGCGAGGCGGCGGGCACTCTGAGCGCGGACGCGGCGTGCGCGGGGGCGACGCCGAGCAGCGCGTACGCGCACCTTGCCGGCCTCGAGCGGGCGGACGTTCGGCGCGCGCTCACTTGTCTGCCGCCTAAGCGCTCAGTGGGCCCTGATGGAATTCCACCCTTCATCTTAAGGGATTGCCGCATAGTATTAACGGAACCTTTACAGCACATATTTAATATTTGCTTATCGGCAGCACATTTTCCGACTCCTTGGAAACTGACTCGGGTGGTACCTATACCAAAAGGTCGGGGTGGCACGGATGTCAGTGATTTCAGACCCATTGCGGTACTGTGTGCACCAGCCAAAGTATTTGAGATGGCTGGATGAGCATGCTGATGGATGCGCAGGTTGGGGCTCATTTGTCTGACGCGCAGCACGGCTTCCGTCCTGGATGCAGTACAGCGGGGAACTTACTACACCTGATGACGCTGTTGGTACCGGCTGTTGACGCCGGGCTTCAGGTGGACGTAGCCTACCTTGACTTCAAGAAGGCGTTCGACACAGTCGACCACGACATACTCCTGTCGAAGCTGGCTGGTATGGGTTGCACATATCATACTGTAAAGTTCTTCGCCAGTTATCTTCGAGATAGGCGTCAGTATGTGGACTGTGGCGGTCACTTCTCGGAGCCCTACTACACCAGATCGGGCGTCAGTCAGGGTAGTAATCTAGGACCCTTATTATTTGTTATCATGGTTAATGATTTACCAACGGTGGTCAGGTCAACATGTCTCCTATTTGCTGATGACCTTAAGTTGTCAGCAGTAATTAAAGACACAGCTGATCGTGACATGCTGCAGCACGACTTGGATAAAGTCACTGAATGGAGTCACTGGAATAAACTGCATTTTAATATTTCACAGTGCTCGGTGCTTTCATTCACCCGTACACGAAGCCAACAACACCACCAGTACACCATGAACGGGGAGCCGCTGCAGTGTGTCACGGAGGTAAAGGATTTAGGCATCCATTTCTCCAGCGACTTACAGTTTCGCAAACATGTCGTGTATGTTTGTAAGAAGGCGTACAGGAATCTGGGATTTATGCTGCGTCAGGCAAATGATTTCACGAATATCAGCGCATTAAGGGCTTTGTACGAGGCTCTTGTGAAGAGTCATCTGGAATATAATGCGGTCATCTGGAGTCCGAGCGAAATAAAATATAAAACAATGCTCGAGCGGATACAAAATAAATTCATCAGATTTATGTATTTAAAAATATATGGAATATATCCGGGATACCCGTTACTGTATCCCACCTTATTCTGTCTCGGGATGGTGGGGTATTACAAATTAGAAGTCAGGCGTGAAGTGGCATCGGCAACTTATCTTCTGAAGGTATTGAGAGGTAGCATACAAAACTCTGGTATGCTTTCGGAGATAGGTTTCTGTATGCCGGACGAGTACGTGACGCGGCGGCGCCGGCCCCCGCTTCTGGTGGTGCCGCGGGCGCGCACCAACCTGCTGGGGCGCGCGCCGCTCACTCGTGCGCTGCGCACGCTCAACACGGTGGCTAATGTCGTTGACATATTTAACTGTACACTGAGCGAGTTCACAAGGACCACTTACTGTGTAGTATGTAAGGGAATATAATGTGTAATTTAAAGTTAAATAACTTTATAGGAACTAAGTTTATTATAGGTAGTTATATTGTTTATTATAAGTTTAGGGTCAATAGTTTAAGAAACATATTTTAATTTTTAAGTTACTATGTCGAATTAGGTTAAGTTACCTGTAATGGCAAAGTAATATGTAGAAATAAATAAAAATTTATGTGTAAAGAATCGTGTTTGTTTCTTCCTTTTTCTTTCCCCTTTCATCCTGTTCTAGGACTCTGTGTCCTTGCTTCGCACCAACCGCAAGAATTCTCTGCACTGCCCTATGGTTGACTGTTAGAGAATGCCTTAAGGCATTAAGTCCGCCATTCACACTGTTTTGTATGAAGAAGAAATAAATAATAATAATAATAATAATGTTGAACAGTTTTAATCTAAATGTGATGTCCCATTTAGATTAAAACTATTCAACGGGCCTCTGCGAGTTGGCTTCGGCCCCTCGTACGCCTTCCAAAGGTCCGGGACCCTGCGGTCCCGTGATAGGAAAGAACAAACAAATAATAATAATAATAATTGACTCAGTAAAGGAAGAAACCTTTTTAATTTAAATATTCGTAAAACTTCTATCACTTAAGAACCTGCAAAAATGTATGCGAGAATAAACTGCGCGCCTGCTTTTAAAAGTACTAGGCAAACACGACTTAATAAGATCTCACGAAACGTTCAAGAAAAGTGTTACAAGCTTCCAAACCACTAGACGAGGCTAAGTTACTTCGTAATATCAACTTAACAACCGCACTAGGTGCCATAAACTCTTTTGAATTTCTGATCTCCTGGTAACAGGCTGTATTTTACGAAGCCAGTTTATAAAATATGAAGGTGAAAATATAAATATATTTTTACTTTTACATTTGAGGAAAAGTTTTTTATATTTTCTTTAGGAAAATGTGTTTTCATACCCCTAAGTTACAATGTATGTAGATAGGAAAATAAACAAAGATTTTTAAGTACCTGTATTTAGGTACGTCCGTTTCAATATCTGCTAATATTTTCTTTGGTTTCATTTAGTACTACACCTTATAATGATAATCACTGCCTTTTAATAATAACCAACTTCTGATAGCAACTTTCATCATGATCAGCCTGATTTCATCCACAGCTGGACATAGGCCTCCCTAGCAGCTAGCAGCTTTACCCGAATACATAGTATCCTATGTTTAAACCTGACTTATACATATAAATATAAAGATATATCTATATATCTCTGCGCGAATCTACATCAAAACCTATACGTAGTTTTCACATAAAATAGTATTAAACTATCAATCTATTCATACTTACAAATTTTAATACTAATTATAATACTAGTTGAATACCAAAATTTATTGGTTTAATGAATTTTGCAAAGAAAGAAATAGTGTTAAACTTTTTGTCTAGACAGATCCTTTATTCAATCGTTGATCCTATAAACAGTTTACTAATTCTGTAAAGTGCCAAGCTATCGACGCCTCCAATGGACACTCGCAACAACAGAGGAGTTGCAAGTTGCGTTACCGGACCTTTGGGGATTTAGGAATGGAAGAGGAATAGGTGGGGTGAAGGAATAGGGCTTCCAATAATACCCACTCACACGGTGAAACACAACATTGTGGTTGTTGCACGCAGGTTTTCTGTGAGGCTGTAATAATACTCCGATGTACCCGACTTATTCCGGTCGAAAAATGGCACCTTTTATACTTAGCATTACTCTCCCACACATGAAATTATAAGTATGAAATACACCATTCATACTTATAATTCATCATGTTCCCTACTAAAACACTTTAGCGTTTATCCCATAAATACATGGAGATCCTAAAAAAATACACTCATCCACGGTAATCGTAACGTCCTACGTATGTGCGTGTACAAGCATGTGACGTTACGCGTTGAATATGAATGGGAACAGTATTTATAAGATAACGCACGAAATTCAATTATGTATAACGTTTACTTGGATGTATTTCTAAAATGGTAATATATGATGAGCCTGAAAAAATTCTAAGCCTAGATAACTTAGGTTTTTTTTCTTTGTTGATCCTATTCAAAATTTAACATAATATCATGCATCATAATATAATATATATTGCCGTCACTAAATTGTGTGACCTTGACAACAACAACCACATCGTTGTTTTTCACCGTGTGAGTGATGTTATCGGAGGCCCAGTTTTCCCCCTTACCAATCCGTAAACCTCCATTTTCTTTTATATATTAAAGGGCGGCAACACACTGACCATTACTGGTGTTGAGGGCCATGGGTAGTAGGGTAGGATACGGGCCGATTGCTGACCATCAGGTAATAATATGTGTTTCGTTTGCCACGTATCACAAAAACCAAGACCCATAGCGTACCACTAATATAGTCAAAGTCAAAGTCAAAATCATTTATTCCAACTAAACCATAAATAGGTACTTTTGAAACGTCAAAATAGAGAAGTAGTCTGTCAGTCTGTTCGTCAGTGAAGCTAGGTGCTCATTCCAAATTGTAGATTCGAATGGAGAAGAACGTAAAAGAAACACCATTCGTTACTCTTTTAAAAAAAATGTTTTACAATGTCAATTATTTAACATTTATAGTATAAATTTACAATGAAACAATGAATTTATTTTTGCAAATAGGCCATAAAACGGCACTTTTACACGTCAATTTATATGTAAAAAACTAGATGAAGCCGGCATTTCCTATCTGACTACTCTGAGAAGAAATGCCGAAACAAACTCAGAGGTCAGTCTCTTTTCAAGTCCAGACAATGTAAAAATAACATAATGTGAGAGAACCGTGCAAGTTGATTCTGTAGTGGTCTTTTGATGAAAGAACCACACCAGTTTAAGTGGACCCGTTCTGAAGACAGGCACGCAAGTGTCAGTTTGCAACCAGCACAGCAAGTGCTGCTGAGTTGTCCGACGAACAATACCGATCTAAAGAACATTTGGTTGGGTCGCGCAAGTACTCAAACTGTCAGAACGCAGATAACTGGTAGTCCAAAAGCGCGGCAAGTCTCACACGGTCCTTACACTAACAGAATAATAATAATGTCAATAAATAATTATAAAAATAATAAATAAAATAAAAAATGTCAAATAAAAATAAAAAAGTCACAATAGGTGATAATGTCATTGTTAAAAAATAATAATAAACGTAATGTCAAATTGTATATAAAAAGCGTAACTTATGTTACAAACATGTCAACATGACCTGTGCAGAAGTTACAGCGGCTCATTCCCAAGCCTGACTATCTTCTAAGTAGTCTTTTATTTTATAAAATGCTTTACAGTAAAGTTTAGCCTTTATTACACTTTTAAAATTATTGAGGCTCAAATTTTGAATATCCCTAGGAATTTTATTGTAAAAGCGTATAAATTGACATCTAAACAAACTACTTATTTTCTGAAGCCTGGAGGCGGGGACAACATATTTGTTTTTCCCCCTCGTGTTAATATTATGTATATCACTATGCTTCTTAAAATAAGCTTTTGTTTTTATGAGCGTGAATTACATTTTCATAAATATATTGTGAGGCAACCGTCATTATCTTAGTTTCCTTAAATAATTCTCTGAGCGAATGCCTCGGACTAAGATTATAGATTGATCGAATAGCCCTTTTCTGCAAAACAAAAATAGACTGAATGTCAGCAGCATTCCCCCACAACAAAATACCGTATGACATGATGCTGTGGAAATAACTAAAATAAACTAACCGCGCTGTATCTACATCTGTTAAATTTCTATTTTTTTTAACGGTGCAGAACTGAGCTTCTTCGACAAGCCATCTATATGTGGGCCCCACTGGAGCTTAGCGTCCAGGGTTATACCTAAAAAGACAGTTGTATCTACAGAACTCAACTCCTCGCCCTTGACAAGCACACTGGTTTTTGCCTGTTTAACATTTGGTGTTGTGAATTTATACTATAATTGTGTGAGAACAATACAGAGACAAGTTATAAAAAAAAGAACAAGTGATGGGACCTATCATAAAATTTTAATCCTTTATCGTCTCGAACATGGTGCTCACATATCTATATCACACTCACAATCTTTAAGAGTGCTTCTATAGGTATATAAACTCTTTGGATATATAAATTAAGGATGCTTTATTTTTGAGAATTTTACTAACTGCTGACTATATTTGAGTATTGTCCAGTGAAGTTGAATCAACACGCTGCCAGGCATTCTTATCCTCAATATAATGTACACAGACACATATAATTCTATTACTTATATATTTCTTTGGCTCCGTACACGTACTCACTTCTCGTACCAAGTCTATTATAATACAGTTATAAGCAGAAGGTGTAAGTGTTTTTATAATAGTTATATCAACATTTGAAAAATGATACTATATGTTTGACAGTCCACGTCATCATACATTACTGACAAAACCCACCTTTTACGCGGAGAAAAGACACCTTGATTTGTTTGTTAATTAGCTATAAAATACTTTGATTTTGATAAAGGCATCTTTTGTGACATGCTGCTATTTTTGTAACAACAAAGGTCGAATAACTTTAAGAATAAACCGAAAATATTCACAAAAAATATATTCAATATAAAAATGAAAAAAATATCGGCGCCAATCCTTTGAAGTTAGTAAAAATTATGCCTATCTTCGAAGAGGTATTTTGTAAATATTTTTTATATAATCTAGACAAATTCCTCTTCGGGTTTATGTTATCTTTTCTTTTCTTTTTTACTGACTGATGCCAAAGGTATTTTTTGAAAGATATTTTTTGCCCTTTTGTATTTTGCTATGAGAAGCCGATTATGTGCATTGGCCTTTTTATAATTCGTACGTTCAAATTAGGGTTGTCGATTTTTCAAAGTAAATATTTCATAATATTATGTACGATTTTTTTAATAAACATGTTGGGTATGAAGAAATACGTTTATATAACATTTTTAATACATTAATAGAATAAATAATGAAGTTTATTGTTATTATATAACCGTCTGTCAGATTAAATTAATTATTTTTTCTCTTGTAAACATCGCCCTACTCTTTGATTTTAGTCTGTGTTATAGATGCATTTTCAAATATACAATTTGACGTGTATTTTCACTTTTCTTAAGGAATCAAATATTTACGATGATATATTAAGCTGAAATTGTGTAGTCAGGGTTAAGTTCACAGTGAAACAAAATTTTAACAAAAATGATTTCTAAGTATTGTTTTGTTTTACGAAAAAAAAATACATGTCCCTCTTCACCAACGTACTGAATACATTTTTAATTTCCATACTCAATGTAACACTATTTCATAATAAAATTATTTAAAAAGCAAATTTTTCTGTCAGTTGTTTATGTTTTAGTAAGTTAGTTTTTCGTAGTACTGTGAAAATTGTTGCAACTACCGACAACAAGCGCGCAGCTTCTAGACTCTGCTATACAATAGAAAAATACATATTTTAAATATTAACATCTACGATACCTACAGTACATGTCGTAAGAATGTTTAGAATTTATTCAGCAACCAAATATGAAATCTGAAGATTGTAGTGGCATCGGGCTGGCCACGTCCCTCGAAGGACGTACGACGACAACGCGTGGGTAGGCCTGCCGCTAGGTCAACCGACGACATCTTCGAAGTCGCGGGGCACCAATGAGCGCAGGTGAAGAGTTGTCGTGCGACGTGGAGAAGGAGGCCTTTGTTCATCAGTATACGTCTTCCAGCTGATGATGATGAATAAAAAATGGTTTTCAGGTTATCCCAAAAAAAGAACAAGCTAAGTACATAACCATAAAAGAGTTTTAAATAATTTATTTTCGAAGCACTCCTGCCATCACTCCAACTTTATTGGCAAAGTTTTAAAAGGTTTTATAGATACCAAATTCAGGTCGAGAACCATTCTAAATTTTGAACTCGTAAAAATTTGGCAACGCCCAGGAACCTGGAGTCTTTTTACAAAACTTTCTTATCAGCTTAAGGTCGTTAAGCAAATTATTCTAGATGTGGAATATAGGATGAGTAGTGCTAGAAGCAAAATGAGTATATCTACTTATGCATTATCTATATCTATACTAATATTATAAAGAGGTAAAATTTGTAAGGTTGTATGTTTGTAAGTTTATATGTAGGGGGTAATATTTAGAACCACTATTCGGATTCTTAAAATTCTTTTACTCATAGATAGCTACAATGTTCCTAAGTGCTATATAGGCTATAAAATATCACGCTATAATTAAATGGAGTCGAGCAGCGAGTGAAACCGCGCTGGAATATCTAGTACCTATACTAGAAAGAAGAAAGATATGATTAACTTTTAAACTTTCTCGTTTCGCAATGGTTATTAAATGCTCAAACCTTCTCCGTGTGCGAAGAGACCTTTGCTCAGCAACGGGCCCTTATAGGGTAATGATGTGATACTTACTTTTTAAAACATATGTTTTCAAACTTTGAAATCGAAATCTAGTCCAACTAAATCATAAATGTCGTAGTGGGCCGGAGAGCAAGGCGCTCTATTCGCATGCATAAGATTGCGGGATCGAAAACAAGTAAGTTCCAATGTGACTTTTTCCAACTTGAATGCACTTTTCAAGATTATTTAGACACCACTTACAAAATACCAGATATATTTGAATAGACAACGAATAATCATTGTATGTTGCACTGCTATACTAAAAATTTGTGTGGAAGAGCCAAGCTTCGGCACGGATGGGTCGGCTTGACCGGAGTGATACCACGGCCTCACAGAAAACCGGCGTGAAACAACCCACAGCGCTGTGTTTCGCCGTGTGAGTGAGGTTACCGGAGGCCCAATCCCTCCCCTTCCCCTATCCCTTCCCAATCCTTATATCCGCAACTCCCATCCCCAAAAGGCCGGCAACGCACTCGTAACTCCTTTAGTGTTTCGGGTGTCCATGGGCGGCGCCGATTGCTTACCATCAGGTAATCCGTCTGCTCGTTTACCGACGTATACCATAAAAAAATATTGATAAGAATAGTCTTATCATTACCAACAAAATAAATAAAACAACAAAACTTATACAATGAAATTTTATTTCCCAATAACTATTCATAATTTATTTTCATAATCAAATGTATATTTACATAATAAAAACGCTTCTTATCACGTCGGTAACAATATATAAAGTTCGTTCGTTTGGCCTTGGGCCTGTATCATATTATGAGCTAGGGATGCGAAGAAAATCGCAGGTACAAATAACACTGTTCCTTTAGCTACGTACAGCACTGTGAGGAGTGAAATAACAGTGGTCACTGACGATGGATGCAGCGATTTTGATCCGGCGTGCAGTTCCGCTAGACTTTCTGCTGGAACAAACGGGTATGTATTAGTTAGTATTTTGAGTAACAGACATCCATATGAGTCAAGATACGAGTTAAAAAAAAAATAACCACGTTGTGATAAATTTGAATAAAGAAAGCAGAGAGAACGATTTTTTTTTAAAGGTTTCTTAGTCCTGGCTGTATAATCTTTGTAATGAGGTTAGCTTTATTCGAAAATAAGTCTCAATGAGAAAACAAAATCATAATAATTTTTTGACCAACTAACTAACTACAATAATTGTATCTTAATACAATTAGCTCAATACCCAAAATATATAAACAAACAAATTGTTTTGTAGCATTAATAATCTTAAAATTATTTCAATAATGCCTAGTTCTTTTTCCATCTTGTTTTTGTTTCACGTGATACTTTTGTGTTTGAAGTCGTCTTTTACTAGTTAAATCAGTTTCTCCGATATTCAAGAAGTTCGAAGTTGTATTTGCATAATCATGCCGTTTGCAAGTACAGACCAAACTTTTGGAAGATTTTCTTTGCCTAGAATCCTGATATCTTCTATTGATATTTGATATTTTCGTGTTTTTGAAGTTGATTTGCATGATTTTGCGATTGAATTTGATTGATGATCTTTATTGTTGTATTGTTAAAGTTCACTTTTATTTGTATATATTTTCGTAGTTGGATAGTCTTTTGTATTTATTCTTTTTTTTTATTGACATAAAAAGCGATCTGATTGATTTTGATCATGGTGCCTAGTCTATTAAATTAGACTAGTCCACTGTTTAAGAGATATTATAGTGCACTAATGTGTGTGTGTAAACACAGGTGCACTCTTTGTTCTCTTACTCACTGACTATCATTCTGTAGCAGACAGATACGACTGGAGAAAAATCAGGAGCAAAATCAATGATTTTACGAACTTTTCAAGCCACGCGGGTAACACCATGGAACTTCCTGACTTCAATTTAATAGGCAAAGATGGTTAGCATCGTTTTGACCGGCCATCGATTGACATGGTGTACAATAGTCATCCAGCCACTGAGATAACTACGAAGTAATATATATGAAGAATATTAGGAGACTATCAAGCACCAACCTTTGGATCTAAAAGAATTACAAGACTGAATACTCCGTTTACCACTATATACTGACCACTGAAATAAAAGGTTAGAAATAATGAAATGAATTCCCTAGGCAGAATGTTAATAATCACAATTGAAAATTTTATTTAATAAATGTGCCTAGCCAAATTAACTCTAAGGAATAAATTACTCAGGACAATTTTAACTTCTAAATAGGATTAGTCTTAGAAATATACAATTTCATTACTCCCTCTCATAAGTAACTCCCCTATCCATTCTCAAGGGACCCAAAAAGTTTTTCGCAGAATTGCTCCCTCCGTTGAATAGCGCACGATTACAAATGACCTTGAATCTTATGACCTTGATTTAAGGACTAAGAAACTTTATATTGGCTTTATGTGCACCTGCTAGTTTTAACTTTACGTTGAAATTACTTTTAACATAACAAATTTAATTCTTTTTGGACTTTTTTATTTTAATATAAAGCCTTTTTGTCCCTTGAGTTGTCGATGGTATTATAATTGCATAGTTTTTAACCTTTTAACCAGCTATGGTCGGCTATAGACAACAAACAAAACAGGCTACTTTGCTAATTTCAAGCATAGCCGACCAGCAAATGTAATAATATTAAGAGTATTTGGTTTGTCAACTGTAGCTGACCATAGCAGTTACAGGGTTTAAGAAAAACATTGCCCACGCTAGAATCGTTGCCTATGTCGTGGGTGCGTTTACAAACATAAAAATTCACAACCATTTACAGCTGAAACAATAACTTGTAGATCGTACAAAGTGTTGTTCCGTGTTGGAATCAAACCCGTGAACTGGTTGCTGAGTAAGGTTACTCAGCAACCAGTTGGCTAGCTACCGCGCCAACCGTTTTTCAATCATTATATTCACTTGTCTTTTAAGAGTTTTTACATTCATTATGCGTACAGCCAAGGAGTGGAATTCCTTGCCGGAGTCAGTGTTTCCTGATAGTTACAATCTGGGTATCTTTAAGTCAAGAGTGAATAGGTTACTTCTAGGTAAGCGCGCTCCATCGTCGACCGCATCGTCGCTTTCCACCAGGTGAAATAGCGGTCAAGCGCGAACCTATAATCAATAAAAAAAAATAAAAAAAGTTTCTGCTTCAACCATACGTACCATTAAGAACATGTACAGAAACTGTGTGTGAGCGAGCGCCTCGGACCGCGCACGTGTAATTCCCAGCGTCGCTGCTGTTCACACGGGCAAGCCGAAGCTGGCTGTCAGCACCGCCAGGCACTTGTTCTGTCTTTACGCTGTGGAAAAATGTGTAATGTTTGAGTCTACATTCATCAGTTTTTCATTATTCTGGATTCTAGTTAATAGGAACATATTTTTGCTATTTGTCTCTACTTAGATAAGTAATTCTAAAGGAACAAATATTTTGTCCCTTTTATGAAAACTGTTTTTTGGTAAGAATCGATGTTAATTGTATTTGGTAATACTCTTTTAGAGGTTTATCCATGAAATGTATTCTCTCGCTCTGTTTGGGGCGAGAGCGTCAGACTATTACCTCTTATCGACTAAAACTATTGCGTTCCTTCATCTGGACCAAGCTGGGGTAATGGTACATTGTTGTAGGTACTTGACCCGCAACCCCGGACGCATACTTAAGTTTGGATTTTAACTAGGTATTCAGGCTCTATAAGTATCTTCATTTCATCGTCAATCAAACTTTTTTTTTATATTTGTCTTGTAGCATTGTAAACGTCCAAATTCAATATTTAGTCACATATATATCCTTAATTACATAGAATTGAATTCTTACAGCTACTTAAATTATAATGACGCTATATAAAAAATCAACGTCTCTAAAGAAAGTAACATAATAACAATATTCAAAACCCTTTCGTATCCCTTCTATTAGGCTGTTGTCAAGTGACGTGGTTTCAGCGAAAATCTATTTAAAATTTCATAAATGTCTGGGCTGGCTACAAGTTTCCCGTTTGCGTGTGTGTTCCCGTAAACATTGTATATTTATAAGCAATCCTGCCCCTTACCTACCCCTTTTTCTCGCCACTACATCGCAACGATAGAATATAAAATAAACCATTATTATACCGTGTATAGATCTGAATATTTTATGTAAATAAACTTACAAGTGAAGGCTGATGTAATTAATAATTAAAATAGTTTTGTTTTGGAGTTCTTTTGTTCATTTAAATTTATAATGGGGACGAATAAAAGTTTAAATAAATAAGTAAATATATGATTGTTTATCTTAGTTGTGATTTTATATATGTCATAAGTCGGCAAATGAGCAGACGGATTACCTGATAGTAAGCAATGAGCCGCTGCCCATGGATACTCATAATACACGTGCGTTGCCAGCCACTTACGGGTTATAAGGGATTTGAAGATTGATGAACAAGAAAAAGTTTTAAATGTTTGTCAATTTTGATGATGCTCCTGCTTTTAAATCTAGCTGGACGAGTAGATTGATATTTATTAAAACATACTTAATTATGTCATTAGAAAGTACTACATTTTCTCGGTAATTGAGGAGATTGGATGACAAAAGAAGAACGGGAAATATCAAAGTCATTGTAAAAGAAGAAGAAACGTATGAGGTGATATTAGTATTGAACTTAAAAAGTTTTCTTACAACTTGAAATCTAGACTAGTCTTAGCTAAAATTTTATTATCAGATACTCACTAAGAGATAATAAATTACACATACATTTTCGAAATTCCTCATCATAAAATAAAACTTAAAAAAAATCACAGCACAAAATGGTGGTCACATCTGAAATCCAGTAAATAATAATTTCAAACAAGGCCTTTCAGTTACACAAATTTCTGTAATTTGGTGTCGTATTCTACTGAAATTCAGAGCCTCTTGTTGGTCGGTACTTAGTTTGAAAATTGCTTTTGTTTATTTGACCCCTTATCTGTCGCTGGAATATAAACTATACCGACTAGAAAATACATTTCAGTGACCTGAAAATTGGGAAAAGAAATATTTATGAATATTCTGTGTGTGTCTAGTGTGATTAAATTTGTTATTGTGTAATAAAATGTCTCTTGACAAACATATAAGTAAAACAATACATAATTCATGTCTATGAAATTTTGTTGATCATATTTTTTTTACTTACATTAAATAAGTCTAAGATGTATATATTATACCTACCACCTATGTTGTTTTTTCATACTACTCAATTCCATATTTTGCATCGAACATTTTTCAATAGATTTTTCATCGTTACGCAATTTATCACATAATTTGAATTCACCTAACGTTTCTTAATATACTTAATTCTGCAAATCGAATGTTCTAAATTTTAAATCTTTTCTCGCAAATCGAATGATGCAAATTCGTCTACAAACGTAACGTGGAGGGTGAATAAATTCTTAAACTATTTTACTACAATTTAATCTGAAAGTAAATTGAACTTTGAGAAGTGCCACGTAGCAGAATTATTAATCTGCACATATGCTAACCAAATTTTCTCAACTAAAACATTATTGAATAATCTGAAATAGTCGAAATTTCATTAAATCTAGATGCGGGCTAAAGATCTCGAAAATGCGCTGACAAAAGTATGCTTTGACGAACATGATCAGAAAATCTAACTTGCAAGTAAAGTGCAAACTATGTGAAGGAGTAGTATTAGATAGTTTCACGCTTGTGGTGAGAATTTGAAGTATTTTGGAGGGAATCGGGGGCTAGATAATTTAGAACATGATTCGATGCTCAACTGAATCTTGCTTTGTTGCAAACTTATGCAGTTGATAGGAAGAATATTGCACTGGAAATTAAATTATTAAATAGAAGAGTTGTCACACAACAAATGTCTTGATTTTGATAATAGAAACTGATGCAGAAACTCTTCTACAGGATAATGGTCAGAACTTTTGACACAAAGATGTCTGCTATGTTTTCTTTCTGTTCTTCTACATTTTTTTTGCAATGGACATGCATTTGGCCATTATCACGCCTGGTAGAAAGCGATGATGCGACCTACGATGGAACAAGCCTACCCATTTACTAAGACAACATATCCATTCTGGCCTTGAAGACACCCAGGCATACACAGACTCCAGAAATATTCCTAAAATTTACTTTTCATATCCTTATAATTTATAGCTCTTACCTAATTCCTCCTCGAGTGGTATCAGCATTTAAAGCCCTGCCCTCATGCAGCCACGTCAGTAAGGCAGGGGTCTCCACGTGTCTAGCTCTGCACAGCAACGCCAGGGTTGATTCAGCCTCATAATACTTCTCCAGTAGTGGGGCTCCAGCTTCGTCCACTACCCACACTTGTGGGGCTAGGAAGAAAAATAATTACTTCAGAATAATTTGATAATTAAAAGAGAATGAGTATAAATATAAAAATCGAGAGACAGAAAATTGAGAGAGAGCTCAGTTATGCTTTGAAAGACGAGGTTATGACAATGATCATCAAAGTGCACAAAAAATCTTGACTTATGGGATTTGAAAAAAAGAAATAGGCAAAGAGTGTATAACATTACATATATATGTTTGCCATCAACGTGTGCAAGTTTTGCTATACTGCCGTGAGTCCCATACCAGGGGACTATAAACCTGACATAATTACTACAATACTTACGTATGAAATACTGCTAAAAGTAGGGTTAGCTATTAATAAACCTCTAACAACCCCTTTGGGATACAAAAGGGGTTTTATATCCTGAAGTATAACTAATCTATCCACCATAAATATAACAGAAAAAGTAATATAATCCAAATCCAATTCATAACACCTTCAACCTTAATAGCCTTAATACGCACGCGACTCGCAACTAACTTAGAGAACTCATTATAACTTTATGTACCCATTGATAGAAACTAACTATTCTCTTCCCCATTATATTACGTCCTGGCGACCGCTTATATGGCTATACTTTACCGACATAATCTGGTCTCACATTGTGTTCACTGTGTATATGATAGAGGGTCAGGTTATACTGGTAGCACAGCTTGATGTGCCGCTTAGCGTACTTATAAATTACTTACGCCTTATCAAAGGATTCTGATTAATAACGATACCAAGTACATGATTGAAACAGATTCTGTGTAATTAGGGAATGGCTATAGCTTTCTATATTTGTGATGGTGGGATGATTGGCTAGATGAGGTAAATTTTTACACCAGAAACAATGGTTTCATTTCTCTTCACTAGATGTTATTAATATAACACAGTTACTTCATTATGTAAACAAGCTTCGGCACGAAAGTGTCGGTTCGACCGGAGTTATACACACGGCCTCAGAGCAAACCGGTGTGAAATAAATACAACGTTGTATTTTGCTATGAGTGAGGTTACCGGAGGCCCAATCCCTCTTCTCCCGTCCCTTCCCAATCTCTTAATCCCCAAAAGACCGAAAACGCACTTGTAACTCCTTTGGTGTACATGGGTGGCGCTGATTGCTTACCATTAATAATCCGTCTGCTCGTTTGCTGAACTACACCATAAAAACAATAGAAAAATTTAGGAAACTACCTACAAAACAGAGAACTGACATTAATCTTAAATTCAATTCTGTAAAATATCAACATTTAGCACAACAAAGTATTCTACTGATGACAGAAACATTCACGGAATATCCATCTTAAATAAACGTAGACATTAATAATACCGAAATATTGATAATAGCCCAGATCTCTCGGGAAACCTTTGTTTATCCCAAGGTCGACAGATATCTTGGTTCTTAAGTTAAACGAAGAAAAGGGTCCCTAGGTCTGTAGGTCCAAAAAAATAGATAGCGACGATCAATCCGATCTACCTACATATATTATATCCCAAAACTATTTTTTCGTGCCAAACCAAAAACTGTACCTATTATTTTATCTTTTGTCTATTTTTTTAGCTGTTGAGTGTCGATAAGAATTGGGTTTCGGTAGTAACTCTTTATCTTTGCTTTTTTGGTGGAAAAATTGGGAAGGCATTTCGGTTTTACAGTAAAACGCGAATGGTCCGTGAAGGTATTCTTCGTTTAGATACAGTTTTTTTTGGAAATCAGTTCATGTAGACTCTTCATTACACTATATCATTACAGCATACACTCACCTCAATACTTTGTGATAATCTAATGTGATGGATGGTCGGCATACGAGCATACGGAATACCTGATGGTAAGCAAGAATCAACGCCGCCCATGGACACCTAATACAACGGAAAAGTAACGAGTGCGTTGTAGACCTTTTGGGGATTTGGGATTTGGAAATTTTAGGATTGGTTGGGCCTCCGAATGTATCACTCGCACGACGAAACACAATGCTGTAATTGTTTCACGCCAGTGAGGCAGTGGTATCACTCCGGTCGAGCCGACGCATTCGTGCCAAAGCCTGGCTCTTTGACCCTGAACCTACTTGGCTTTTATTTATAGCAGTAGTACGAGATACCACCATTTCTTTATAAACGAACAGTGAAAAGTGATAATGAAAATCCAAAGGAAAAACTACTTTTCGAAAAACCATTAATTCAAGTTCACCTACATAAAACGAACAATTTGTAACTGTCCAAAAAATATGTTCTAAATGAAAATTTTAATACTTCTTCATGCAAATAAGTTCACCGCCGGACCGAATCCTTTCCGAGACAGATCTCGTAAAAATGATTTATGATTTCACTAATCATATAATTCAAGTATTCGAATATATTTAATGTACTTTTTTGAAAAGATATTAAAGTTCAAACTTTTATTGTAATTCCGCATAGCACTGTTGGAACCCCGGCTTTATTTAAGTTCAAATAAAGTAGTTAAGATCGATATTCAATAAATTATTTATTTATTTTAAATACACATGATAAGGTGGTCTTAATAACATATATGGCATATTAAATTTTTATCCATTTATGTAACAATACCAACATTTAATATCGATCCAACTCTGAGTCGGATTTAACCTTGAATATTCGATCGTCTTTTACCTTCTGTCTTCTAGCGACGGACAGTGAACGTTAAATATTGTAAGCATACAAGTCATTCATTACGTGTATAAGAACGGATTAGCTAACTGAGGAATATGGGACAATCCTAGTCGTACGATTATCACTACATTTTAACAGTTCCTCGAAAAAATCCATTAAAAACAAATGACTACGTATCCCAAAAACCGTCTATTCAAACTGTTAGATCAGGCTCTACAGTCTTAGGGATTTATGCCTATTTTAAATCTGTTTATCAATTACAGAGTAATAAAAAACACTATCTTTTAAACTTATTCTATAGGTATAGAAAGTCGTAAAACTTAAATTCTCTTTACGACCGTTTCTAATTATTCTCATCAACACTCTCAATTTTTTCTCTCTTTAATTACAACCCTACTTATATTATATGTAAAAGCTGGTAATTATGGGTTCATGATTTTAGCACCTACTCGTAAAAACTACTGAACGAATCTTAATGAAATTTAGCACAATTATATAACTTACTAGCTTTTGCCCGCGGCTTTGCTCGCGTTAAGAAATAATATTATTAATTAGGTATAGTTTTTGGTTGTTTTGGGCTGTGCGTTGATAGATCACTATGTCAGTCACCTTTGAATTTAATATATTTAGATAGATAGAAGATAGATTTCAGAATACAATGTCACTCACATTGTATTCTGAAATAAGTTATAGCCTTTTTACCTTTTTACCCAGTTACTGTAGGCAAAGTCACCGGAAGAAACTTGTACCTACTTTTATAATCACGGTATTCGAACCGCATAGGGTGGACGTCAAATTACACCACTTGTTTGTTTTCCATCCAATAACACAGCTATAAAACCTATCGGTTCTTCTAGATCCCGCATAGAAATCTACCGTTTGTCCTATTTCACCTGAATCGACTACAAATGCCTTGATTTTTGTGAAAATAGAAAGAAGAGAGGCCTAAATCGATACTTAATAACATAAACCTTGGTTTTTGGAGCATAATCTGTACTGTCTAATAGTGCTGCGTTTTTATTTATTCAAGTTTATTTCTGATATTTTGGACATTGCTTGATAATCATGGCAACGGTGTTTTGTCAGCTTAAATAAAAATTGTATAAAAAGAATTACCTGAGGAAAAATTGGCAATTATTCGAAAAAATAAGCGATTTTTTAACAGATAGACAGAGTTACTTTCGCTTTAATAATAATAATATTAAGTAAAGATTACGTCTAGGCAAACGTAGAGTAGCCCTCCAGCTAGGTGGCCTGACGATATTCGAGTGGCTGGTAGTGGTTGGATGAGAAGAGCTCAATGGATTACCATTGATGTGGCCTATGTCCAAAAGAGGTCGGAATGTTGATGTGATATATTTAAGATATTTTGGATTATAAGAATCTATTTGATGTGTAATATTAAAGCAATATTCGTCGAAAGGCTTAGATTTCAGGAGTATGCTTTAGAAAAAGTGCTTGGACCAACGAGATAAAATTATCAGGAACAACATTACAGGTTTACATTGAGTAAAAGCACAGAAGCTAATTCGTTTGAGGGTACTCTTGTTAATGCGTGATCCTGTTTCTGGGAAACATCAAAGTTAATGCTTGAGGCGGTGTAACGGTTGCTCTAACTGAATGTGCGGATATAAGATCTCATTGAAATTGGCTTACAACATTTACATTGTATGTAAGCAGTTTAGGTACATTAGTATATAGAAAGAATTGAGGAATCGTTAATTCAGTAAGAATTCAATTGTATATTTTTTATAGTCTTTACAAAAAAAAATATCTTCTTAAGTTTGGTAAAGGCCACGTAAACTTTAAACTAACTTTTCAATATTATCTGTATCTGTCCCAGACAATAGAGAGCGCAACAGGAATATGGGACAATCCCAGCCGTACGATTATCACACCAATTTAACAGGTCCTTGAAAAAATCCATTGAAAACAAATCACTACGTATCCCAAAAACCGTCTATCTAAACTGTCCGATCAAGCCCAACAGTCCTGCAGCATCCATGAGATTTTGCATTTCCCAAATGGCCCTTAAAAAGGGTCATAGTTGACTTTTAGGTCGGATACGGCCCAAATCCGGTAAAAAGACTATCTGGGGACCTTACAACGTGCATTATTTATGAGTATGTCATATAAATGATCGAGGCGAGAAAGCACGTGATGGGCTTTATAATTGCCAGTCTATGCTATATGTATTTAACTTCAGCTCTTGAGCTGACAAGAATTTTAAATAGGTAGACTGATCGTGAAGGCTTTTTCGCTTAATGGTGCCCCAAGTTTTCGGGCTTAATACAAATAAATCGCTAGACATATTCTCTAACACGTAGCACCAATCGCTCAGCTTCAGCGTCAGCTGTGCCATCAGATTGCCAAAATGGATCATAAAAGCAACTTTGTTCACAAAAAATTGGTTCAGTCAAACTTTAATTTAGAATTTGTTTAAGTATTTTTCAAGTCAATTGCACAATTTTTGGATAGCGTTTGTTTTGCTTATAATATAAGGTTCGCCTTCGTTTGCGATTTATAAGTAAAACGCGTGTTATGACTTAGTGAAAATTTATAGCAATAAGTACACCCACTTGGCAGCGATTCGTGAAGGATGTCTGAAAGTTATTTACAACTGTAAGATTTAGCAGGTTTATACTAAAATCCCTGAGAAAATATAGTTCTGGTGCCCCAAACGATATTATTTTCAATCTTAGGATGGTCCTTTTAATGCCTTGCAGTACGGCATTCAGCACTTTATTTCCATTGCAATAAGGTCCACATTTTTTAAACTTGTACTTCTTTCTCTGGAGTTTTGGAGGCTTACCGAACCGGAGGCTTCGAACCGCCAATGAAAAGTATCTGACCTACATTTTAGTAAAGAGTAAGGTCGAAGTATCAACATTTAATCGTGTTCAGAGACTTTTTTAGTCCGTCATGGGTGTGTATTGATCTGTAAGCCATATAAAAGTAGCAAGTGATCCGTTTTTAATCATCCATTATAATACAATAAATTTACCGGGCCTGCGCCAGAAACTCATTCAGATTAACGCGTGGTATTTCAGAACGCAGATCTAAGCGAGACATTATGCACTTTCTATTGTGTGTCATATTATAACGGCAGACTAAAAGTTAAAGATGGCGCTGGATTAACTTCCAAAGCAGAAACTCGTGTGTTTGCTGATACCGAATCCCACGTGTTCGAATTCGTGAATAGAACGCCAGTGTAGTTTAAATAACAATAATCTTAGCCCATTAATATGTATGTTACACTCTCTCTATGCTATAAACATAATAGTAACTTCTCCTAGTTAATCGGCTTTGCTGAGAAAGGCAAACAAATGTAACATTCTGTTTTAGTTAACGATAGCAGCGAATAGGTTTAATACTTGAGCTCTAGACGTTTTCTTACACATTTTGTTTGTTTCATTTAGGCTAAGAAGGGTTTTATTATAAGAACAAGGTCTGGAATAAGTAACAGTTAAACGTGACTGGTGAGCAAGGAGTTCTTAGTACGATCCTTGAAGCAGGCGAAGAAGTTTTGACTTCAAGGTTTTCAAAAGTGGAATGGAGCGTAGTTTTTATCGTGAGACATACTAAACTCATTGAAAATACCGACTTATGTTAATTCATTGAGCAAATAAAAAGACGTGCAGTGCACGCTGCTCATGAATCAGGTCCCATTGTGTATTGATAATGAAATAAATTTATTCAGTTAATTTACGTGAGCAAGTCGCAAGTCGTGAAGATAACTTCAATTGATTTTATAGCATGAAGGTTGATATTCGATCATTTTTTTGTAGACATTCGAATGTAGTATTTAATAAAATAGGTAACCTCATTGAAGCTCCTCAACTCCCAGGAGTCAATGAATTTATTTTGTAAGTAAATGTATACATACATATGTACATACCTGTAACCCAATAGTCATGCCCGCAATTGAACCGCTCAATAAAATAAAATTAAATAGAAAGCAAATTCAGAATGAATTGCAATTCCCTACACCTACAACAAATAAAATTATAAAAAGTACCACTTACTATTTATATGCAAATAAGTCCTGCTAACTCTAGGCGGATGAGTAGATATCTGGCACTCGTATACTCCTTCGTCATCAGGCTTTACCTCCCTGATGAGTAGTCTCCAGTTACCAGGGTACCTTCTGGCAACTGTTACTCGATTGTCAGCAGCATAAGTCACTGCACCTACTGTCAGCAGTTCTGGCATTTCATCTTTGCCTCTGCGGCGTACCCAGGATACCTAGAAGAAAAAATAGGTTTAAAATAGACTACATGGTTGGCGCGGTGGCTGGGTGACTGGCTGCCGTTGCTGGTTCGATTCCCACACGAAACAATTCTTTGTGTGATCCACAAAATGTTGTTTCGGATTTGGGTGTTGTGTGTATGTGAAATTGTTTATTTGAAAACCCACGACACAGGAGAAAATCCTCGTGTAGTACAAGTTATTAAAAAAAAAAACTGTTCGAAAATTTAAGCTGAATCGACATGGAGGAAGGGGACAATATTTAGTTCGTAACCGACGACTATCATAAAGGTTTTGTAAAAGAGTATGCGAAGTTCATAAGTATGTTAAGATCTTCAATTCACAGTGTTACATGAACATGGTGGTAAAGTGTTTAGTAGCGACTTTATACCACAAATAAAAATATTTTTTGTTTTCCTAGTAATAGTTGGTAATTAAATTGAATACTGCTGTTTGATGTGATGTGTGCTGCCACATAGAAGTGGCAGCACACATCACGGATCGGTTGTCAATGTCACAAAGTTATTTCGAGGCAATTGAGAAGAAACTTAGTTTGTGCTACCAACTGTTAGAAAAAAGTAATTATTGAGAGTGAGGTAAACAGTCTCAGGTCTGGGGAGTCGGAATTATGCTGAACTGGTTCGCATTTTCGGCATATACTTGAGACACGCTCCCGCCCACGCTCCATATAACTATTATTACTGTACTACTATAGGCCCTCGGCTTGGTCTCTCGAAATAATTTTAGGTGAAATTTTTTGTTTAAAACTGGAAGAGCTCGATACGTACAAGGGGTTATAAGCTCTATGATAAACATCATAACATTTAAAACTGCAAAACGGCCGCGTAACGTTAATCATTAACATCAACATAAAAATCACGTTTTCGGTATAAAATTTCAGGTGATTAGCCCATCAACGAAACGAGCCTTCAATTGTTGTTTGCTCGTTAAATCTACTTCTAATGGTCCACCATGACATTTCAAAATCTCTCTCAAAGAAAATTCTTCGGGAAAAGTTAAGTGATTACCCACCATTTACGTCTTCATCAGCTGTTCAGTAAAATAGTTTGAATTTGGTACTAAATCGACCGAAATTAGGCCATTAAAAACATTTGGCCGGTTAGAATTGAGCGAGAAAATATCTATCAAAAATTTATTTCATTATTTATTGTAGACTGTTTGGGATGCTATACTAACTTTCAACAGCCAATTTTTGCATTTTTTGTCTTCAATGCTGACCTTCTGCATTTAGCCACTGGCTGACACGGTAGTAAGAGATTATGCAGCCTATAATGGCTAGGTCGACGACCGAAGCTTGTGATTCAATAAAAAATTAATCAAATGTACGAGCCTACCTAACACATACGCTGGCAAACAATTCCAATCCTTAGCGGGTCGCAGAGGAAAACTTGAGTTTTGAATACTTTTTATGGCATATGTCGGCAAACGAGCAGACGGATTACATGATGTTAAGCAATAGGCGCCGCCGATAGATACTCGTAATACCAAAGAAGTTACGACAAGTTAGTTACCGGCCTCTTGTCAGTTTTTGGACTATGACCACTCGCACCACCAAAAATCTTTGACGTCCTTTTGGGGATTTGGGTTTCGGAGATTTAGGTGTTTGGGGGAAGTATTAGGCCTCAAATTACATCACTCATACGGCGATACAGAACACTGTAGTAATTTCACGCTAGAGAAAAAAAAACTGTAATTTTGTAAAGGTTGTGGTAAAACTCCGGGTGATCCCAACATGGTTTTCTCTCACTTAAAACACACACGTAATTCCACGAATGTCACAATACACGATGTAGTAGTTTCTATAAATAATAAGGTTTACCACAACGAATTGAGTTATTTTCTGCAAAATAAACATCGTAACCCATTACGCCCGCCAGCGAGTTACGTACAAGACGTAATTACAGTTTTTCTTTCCAAACAAATACTGTTTTCGTTACAGTTTTCCGACTGACAACCTCTCCTTAATAAAGTATAATAAGATTAACAACATAAAACAAAACAACGCGAATAAAAGAAAATTCTTTGTTTTTTTTTTAAAGAAAGCAACATTTTTGTTTAATGTTAATATTATATAAATAGCAGCCTCGAGGATATCTCGTTCTGTTTCAAGGTCGCGAAAAGTATCTATTAGTGGTCTTATTTTCCGATTTTTCAATGTCAATCCTTGCATAATCCTCCCATAATCCGTCCCCAATCCCTAAACCACCAAAACCCTAATCCCCAATTGGTCAGCAACGCACTTGTCCGTTGTTGTAGATGTTCATGGAGGGTGCTGATTATTACCATCAGGTAATCGATCCGCAAACGAGCAGATCGATTATATCATACATATACAATACATACATATCATACCAAATATATGCAAATGCAAAAAAAGGACAAATATAATGCAATTTGACTCTTGTCAACACTAAAACAAACACTTTAAATATTATCAGTCACATTTAAAAAAAAATCGCGATAAAATTTATAAAATATTAAATAGGTAGTTGAATAATTAGGCGACATCAATTAAAGTAAATCGAATATTAACGTGTTTAAACTAAGCTCTATGGACTGACAACGCAAAATCGTCTATTTATTTTTGTTAATGGAATGGCGCAAGGTTCGTGATTGCAATCAAAAGAACATCGTTTAAAAGTAATTTGAATTCAAATTTGAAAATCGAATTTAATAATGTTTTAGTTTTTAACGCAGTTTTTTTATGTTTGCTTTGGGTAAACGGTTTTAAATAATTTTTTATGGAGCCAAAAGCGTCTGCATTTGTTAATAGATATTTCTTTTGTGGAGCTTCCAATAACGCTATTAAAAACGATTTTGGAATAGACACCAGATATTCACAGAACCCATCATTAGAATAGTGTCCAGTATAAACTGACCTCTAAATTCACATCAGACCTTTATACCACGTTTCAATTTACACTGGCTTTATCTGGGTCCTGTTATTTGACGTCATTTGTCAATGTGACACTATGCAGATGGCAGTTTGTCGTAGTGAACGAGAGTACCTATTGACAATGTTTTGTTCGATGGAAAACTATAATGACGCATTTAAATGGCTGTCTATAGCAATAATTTATTTTTTTCTTAGCTCTAGTAGATGTAGACGATTGAATATAATGTTTATTAATATAAATTGAGTATGATTTTCGATTATATTGCCGTTCACTTATGGAAGAGAGCTCAAAGCTCGAGAACCTAATCACAAATACGACTGGCAAATAAGGGAATTTATGAGTGAGTAAAATCAACTTTCAAATAAAAAAAAAAAAAAATTTTTCCTGTTGAGTCACAAGGGAGTGTCAGACTCTTACTGACTAAAACCCACATTGTTCGATTGACAATGTTTTGTTCGATGGAAAACTATAATGACGCATTTAAATGGCTGTCTATAGCAAATAATTAATTTTTTTCTTAGCTCTAGTAGATGTAGACGATTGAATATGATGTTTATTAATATAAATTGAGTATGATTTTCGATTATATTGCCGTTCACTTATGGAAGAGAGCTCAAAGCTCGAGAACCTAATCACAAATACGACTGGCAAATAAGGGAATTTATGAGTGAGTAAAATCAAAATTCAAATAAAAAAAAAAAACATTCCTGTTGAGTTACATGGGAGTGTCAGACTCTTACTGACTAAAACCCACATTGTTCCTGTTTCTGCTCTAAGTCAGGGCCAGGGTAGGTACATTATTGGGTTTGCCCTCAACTCAGGCAGGATTTCGGTCCGATTAGGAGACCATCTGTAATATCCCCAAATGTGCATAGGTTCGTCACCGCGTCCCTCGTACCAACAACTGTTTTGACAACTTGGACTAGCCAGTGATTTTAAATAAAATTATAGTACTCATTTTCAAGATCAACGCTAAAACTTTTGTTTCAAAGTAGAAGTTGTTTTTAAAACAATAAATGTACTATTTTACGCGTAAAAATATTCAGATGCTCTTTATCCATAAACACCAGTGTACGTATCTTATCTTGAACAATTATTACGTTCATAAAACAGCATAATTGTTACTTTAATCTTCCAGGCATGCCGCACCGTATTATCTTGGTCACGTATTTTGCTAGGAATGTGTATCCAGTAAATTAAATTTAAGAGCCACTTGAAGTCAAAGTATGCTGTACGTTCGTAGTATAATGGTAATAATGAAAATTGTATGTTAACTTCTTTAGGCATAGACGACGAATGTTTTTTTTATTATCATATGAAGTATGCGATTGCCATCACTTATTGACATTGGCGACACTGGTAGCTAGGTTAGGTAGGTCGGGTTAATTGAGGTAATTTCCAAACGTAACGGGTGGGCGTTTTTCCGCTATCATGCCTGGTGACGATGAGCACACGCGTACATAAGCAACCTATTTACTCGGTCCTGGAAGATATCCAGGTTATACCAGGAACACAAATACCGATCTACACCGTCGCGGTTCAGTTAATAAAACCGAAGACTTGTGTGGGTGGCATATCCAATATCAAGTGATGACGTTTTGCTGATAATCTGGTGAAAAAAATGAACCTTGGCTTATTTAGTTTTATAAATTTTGGAATGCACGATAGTTACAGGACTATTATAAGACTGTTAATTTTAATATCTACTAGCGCATTCTAAATTCTTCGATGCAGGGTTTCGGATTGGGTAAACGCACAGGGAGTAAGCTTACTCCGTGGGTAAACGGTATTCTGGAAATTGTCCTTTCCATTTATGCCCATAATACTATTTCATTAGATCTCCTTAACAGATTTACTATAAAATATTAATAAAGCACAAAACCCTTCGGGATTTAATCCAGCTAATATTTAAAGTGCGGATAATTTTCTCCTATAAATTTTAACCGTCAATTAATAATCCTTCCTAATAGCTCCCTGGACGACTATTTTCTGCACAATGGCGGTTACAATTCCAATAATGAAGCAAGGTGGCGCCACTTTATCAACAATGGTTTCAGTCGCTGCCACAATCGGTTTTAAGGCGCTCTTGATCTCATCGTCCCATTAAGTGTTGCTCGAACGTGGTTCTTAGTTTCTGGTATTGTAAATGTTATATGATTTTTTAATTAACTATTTCAAATATTAGAGATAATTTATTGTCCATAGACTTGATTTCAATATCGTCATAATCGAATTTTGCTGTGCAAAGAAACAAAAAGCCCAGCTCTGTCTATCGCTAGCTTATATTAGCAATTTTTCAGTTTCTCTGGTAAACTCAAAGTTTTTAACCACCAACTTCTATACGACATAACTAAAAATGCACATATCCTATGTTTATTAAATATTACTATTCAGTTTTCTTGTTAGTTAGTAGAAGATTTAAACTCACTGCATGATTCACAGTCCAGTAACGTGAACGGTGAACCGTCGCGCTAAACTATTATACCTGTAATTGATTCAAAGAACGAATCGGTTTCTTGGAAATATTATATTCTACAATAACATGGTTTTAAAACTAAAATAAATTGAAACTGAATTATATAAGTATATTTTGATGAGTTTCACTATAAAGTTTTAACTTAAGATTATATTTTCGTTGGATTTCCTTCAAAGATCTTTTTAAAGAGAGTATTATGTAGTGTGAAATTCTTACATCCCTTAATCCACCCCGATATCATCACCTGTAACCAAGACTTCATAAAACTATTCCGGAACCCTCATGGTACAACGCCTGCTACCCCACAACCCTTAGGAGCCCCGTGACTTTCTAAAGAGACCATTTTTGGCCTAGATAACAATGTAAACAAAAATTCAACAACATCACGGAGTGAATAAATCATCATCGTCATCAGCCTATAAAGTGCCCACTGCTGAGCAAAGGCCTCTTCTCACACGGAGAAGGTTAGAGCATTAATTACCACGCTTGCTCAATGTGGGTTGGCGATTTCTAACTTATAATAAGAAATTATAAGTCCGATCTTTACCTTCACCGCATTAAGGTGGTGTTTAAATAATCATAGAAAGTACATATAACTTGGAAAAAGTCACATTGGTACTTGCCAGGTATTGAGGCCACACCCTCATGGATGAGAAGCGGGCTCCTCAACCTCCGGGCCACCACGACAATGAGTGAATAATTAGGCATTTGAATTTATAGTGAAAATTCTAACTACTAGTTACTCTGTAAGTTTAGAAGTGTCGTAAACGAGAAGCCCTGGAATGAGATTTTGTAAAACGTCATGTTGTTTAATGGACGCGACTAACGAAGTGTGTAAAAGTAATAGTCTGGCGCGTTCGGCTAAGTCCGTATCTCTTCGAGTCTCCCCGACTCCCCGTATAAAAGCTGCTTGCTAAATAAATAATGACCTTTTCTGCTACATTATTAATTAAGTTTCGTTCGAGCTGATTTTGGAATAAACGAAAAAAGAATATGGCGCCCGATAATCTCGTGTTCTCCGATTTAAATAGAACTACCCTAGCTGTTACACAAAGAGTTCGTGTTTGTAACAGTGCATAGATTTAAATAATGTTTATTTAACAGGGTGAGGATTAATTAGGTATTCTACAATTGGCACACTTCTTTTTCCTGTTGTTTATTATCTGGATTTAAGCTTTTGTGAATTGCAGTTGTTTTTGTGATTAGAAGAATTTTAGCTTAAATATTTTTTATAAAACTTGATACGAGTATACTTAAGTGAAAATTAGACGGAAGGGAAGGGATAATGGCGGGGGAGACTTCCGGTAACCACACTTACACGGTTTAGTTTAGTAAAAAAAAGTGTCAATATTTGCAATTTCCAGTGGAAATTTGGATAATTAAACTAACTATTTACTTATTACTTAGCTTTTCATTCAGCGTTGAAAAATTTAAACAGGCCTGATAATAACCAGTCATAATAAACTTATATGTTTTTGCAACTCCAGAGGTATTAGAAAAGCATTGCCAACCTTTACAAGGTTGGCAGAAAAGCATTGCCAACCTTGTAAAGAACTACATATTTAATTATGTCATATAGTCCTCTTTGGATATGAGGGCCTCTCATACGTTATAGGGGGAAAAAGCCTGTAGTAATGTGGGTATTATAAATTATCACTTTTTGAATGCTATGCCAGCTAAACCTGATGGTACTCCATATGTGAGATTACCAACATTTTTACCGCCTTAGAATATATAAGAAGAATATACTATTAAAGTTTATACGCCGATAAAAATTCATGAGCCTATTTATACTATATCCATTATTTTCCACGTGTACTCAAAGAATGCGTATGTAATTTTATTTGAATACGTGTTAGAAGTAGTTTTGGATCACGTAGAGAAGAATTGCTTTGCTGCAATCTAGCAGACGTACCGTGGGCAGGTTTTTTGTTAGGTGGACTGACGACATCTTCAAAGTCAGGGAGCTAATGGATAAGAGTAGTGACTTGACCTTTGTCTCGCAGTGGATGTCTTCCTGCTGATAATGATGATGATCATGATGATTCAAATAAATGTCCCAAGAAACACTCAACTGACTCAGTAGAAGAATACACAAAAGATGAACAATGATTTAGAAAAATTATATGTATTATGTAAATAATTTCAATCATGGTGTTGGAGTTTAAAGTGCCCGATTCTCAAAGTCGAAAACATTCATTTCAACTTAACCATAAAAGGGTGTTTTTAAACCGTCAGAAATAGGACATATAAACACAGTGACTGTGACAGTAGACTACGTCATTAAGTTTTACTTTTTTCAAGTTATATGTATAGTGAGAGTGTAAAGTCATTTTATGTAAGCAAACAATATAACAAAAGAGATTTTAAAAATGTGTTAGTTCGAAACTTCAACAGAAAAGATTGTTAAAATAAAATACCTAATTTATTAATCCTACTTAGAACAACATAAAAAAAAACTTGAATTAACAAGCAATTCGCAAAACAGAACCTATTAATATAGACTATCTAAAATCTGAACTCAAACAAAGTGTAACCACGGGTGGTAATTAAATTCTCACGAAGCTAACTGAATGAAATTGTTTAAGCCAAACTGAATAATGCCTACTTTATTCAACAAAATGTTTCGTACCACGTTACCGAAAACCTGAATAGATTAGATATTTGAAATAATGGGCCACTACAATCTAAATGGTGTCCGTTTGTAAGAAGGAGTGAGCCTTATCGTGGGTAACACGCTAGCCAATGAACAGAACAGCACATCAAAATGCACACTTCCAATATAAACTGACCCCTCAACATGGACAAACTGCATACAGAGCAGTTTCAACTTATATTGGGTATCAGAGCTATAAGTAGTTCCTCTTACACGAAATGTTCAGCTAAAACAGTATTCTCATGCAATTTGCTCGTTTTGGCTTTAAAAGGTTTAAAACTAGAAGTGGTTATTCAATTGTAACTACTTTAAAATAGATGCTTCATTTAGAGTGTACGGTTTTTTTTTCTGCGAGAATCGTCCTTATTTTTTTTTATTGGTTTTTCTCCGATGCATTTACAAACATACAATTTCTCATAGACATCATACCCAGACTCGAACAATAATTTGTGGATCACAAAAAAGTAGTTCAGTACGGGATCGAACGGTTGAAATGGGTGAAAATTTTTGATCTGATTTGGGGTATCGACCCATTTGATTGATCATCAATCAGACATTTGACACTATGCTAGCCAATACCTTCGTGTAGTAAAAGAAAAATTTAAGTACTAATAACCTGTCAACAATTTTTATTGGTAACTACTCAAAATCATAAGATGGAAAAAAAACATAATTCAACTCACCGTTTTGTCCTGCAACAAACTAATCCTGCAATTCAAATGCGCGTCTTCTCCTAACTGCACAGTGATTTTAGTAATGTTCCCATCAGGAGCATCCTCAAAACTTGGCCCATATTTCCTATCATGGTCAAAGTAGGTATTCTTTAGCACCACATGTGGAACCATGTCTACTTTCAAGGGTTTTTCTGTAGAAGGATCTTGGGAAGGCTGTGGGACCTTGAAAGCTTTTGTGCTGTCAATTGTTGAGTTCCCAAGCCTGAGCATCACAGGTGCTGGTACGATGCCGGTGCTCAGCGCGTAGAATGTCGTCACCGTCTGTGATTCTTCTGTTGATGGTGTTGTTGGGTTTTCTGTGGATATTGTTTTATTTGAATAAAAAAAAGAGCAGAAATTAACGTGAGATACTCAACTATACCTGTGTTACTACTTTTTTGAATTAAAATTCAAAAAAGTAAGTAGATATCATGTGATATCGACCAGAGCACCCAAGCATATTTACGCTACATGTATCTCTGATTATTACACAATTTCTAGAAACAGGATATTATATGACCACATTGCACAAAAATGTAAGTGAGAGTGATTTTTTTCATTGTTTACTAGATTTTCAGGACGCTTAAAAGGTAACAACAATGACTCGCTACCTTGAATAATCTAACAATTTTATTTTAAATTTATCTTCATATATGTGGAATCTGTATGTGGAAATTTTAATACTACTGACCGTGAATATACGTGAAGTACATAAATATATTGATTCTTTGACACTCCTCTGTTATACTAACCTGTAGTAAATTGACACACAACAAACTGAGTAAGGAAGAACACGCTCGCACTCCACATAGCGCCTGGCCGAGGCTCAGCCCCCCGCAGGGCTTCATAATCTGAAACAATACAAATGGTAATTAAAATAATTATCAAATTATAACACGGATACTTTCTTCCTTGGAAGAGCATACTTCATGAACCATGGATCAGTTTTGAAATGTGGCCTCACAGGCCTTGATGAGAAACAACGGTTTCCTCCAGTAACCTCACTTACACGAAGTGAGGTTACTGGAGGCTTGATCTTCAATTCAGAAAAACTCAATACGCTTAAACTCTGGTGACGCCAGCTTACATTAGCGTTGCTGATTGTTAAATACTCAATACTCAAAATCTCAGGAGATGCGTCTGCTTGCCGCTTTATCCCATAAAAACAAAAACTAAAAAAAAAAAACTATTCTTATCATTCATTAAATATTGTCACCTATCATTACGTCACTTTCTATTTTCTTATAAAAACCTTGCCCATGAGAGAATTTTCTCCTTTGACAAACAAAATGTCAAAAATTAAAGATTGGCACATATCATCACGTCCATTTCCAATTTGCTTTAAAAAAAACCTTGAAAATCAAGGGTCTCCTCCTGTACCACAGCCTTGAAAAGATCCGTGCTGATATTATTGAGTCCGCTATTAAGTCAACCGTTCAGCCATTTTGTTTCTTTTTATATTTCGTATAGTACAGAGATGTGACTGAAACCTAATCGCTTTTACGTTAACATTTCTCTCAACCACTCAACTCACTATACTCGTCTAAATATAAAAAGGCCTCCTAAAATCAAGTTAAAGGCTTACAAGCCATGATAAGTTAGTAAAACCTTTTGTTCTCGTATTTTACTTTAAGATTAACGTTAAAGGTGTACCCCTGAAACAAAACATCGCCAATTAGCCTAATTACCTTATCTGTTCTTATCTTCCCCTTAAAATGTTTGCAAAACATTTTTCTTGTAAGAATTTCTTGGATCTTTGTACATTGTACGTTCATAGAACCTACGTTTTCATTTTACGTTGTTTCTTGTTCTTGTAATGATATTATAATAAGGGCAATTTTGGTTTGTGGAAATAATTATTCCATCGGTCGGTTTTCTTAAGATTCGGGTAATTTAATTACTACTTTGTTGTACACCATAAAACATACAGGACTCATTTATAATGCAAGGTGTACAATGGGCGGTCTTATCGCTACATGCGATTTCTTACAGACAACTTTTGCATGGTGCCAGTGATCTAGATTCGGGAAATCGTCCATTTTCCTTACATTAAATGTATTTCTAAAATTTTAATGTACCATGCACGATACGCTACCATGCAACATCATTGAGAATGATACTCCTTATAATGCTGGTAATGACATATGACATTTCTAAATACTGAATAACATTAATTTCCCTAAAGTTTTTCTGTAGGATTTAATATGAGTTACAATTACTTATAAACGGTTCTAAATGTGAACAAACTAAGCTTCGGTATCGTTGACAACGATTTTACCTAACCAAAAAAAAGGCTAAAAACATTTTCAACAATATTTTTTCACCAAACTGTTCCTTTCTGGACCTTAATTACGAAAAAAGCGATAAAATAACTAAGTTACTACGGTGGACCGTCAATCATTCTCTTTTTAAGGAATAGAGTTGACTGTAAAAATAACGAGTATTTTTTTTTCTTAGCGTAACTTTTCACTGTCTTTGGGTTTGGCTTAAGCAATTAAAAGTTTGAAAAAGTAGTCGCCGTGTTTTTACATCGTTTTTTATGTATTTTTTTATCCCTTTTGTGACCATCCCCGACGGAAGTGTGGTTGGAAATGTACGCTGACCTTTAACGTAAATAAGATGTAATTAAAAATAAATATTGAGCGGAACCTTACTTTCTTTGTGTTAAACTTTAAACGGACCTGATTTTAGGAATTATTTCGAGAAGCTCGTGGTTTACATTGACTACCAAGAATAAATTATAAAACTCTTAAAATCAAATGCTGTTGCTCAGCAGTTTGCACTTACAGACTTCAAGATCTTAGGTCCTTAATATTCTATGTCCCCAGATGCAGAGGGCAGCTACAGAAGATTTCTACAGCGACAACTCTTAAGCTCATCAACATCATAATCTGCCTCTTACATACTGCTAAGCAAATTTCTCTTTTTATATGGAGAAGGTTTGAGCATTCATCACCACGCTTTTTTCAGGCAAAAATTATTATTATTATACGGTTATAAGGTATGTCCACCTTTCCTCGTCCGAATGTTAACCTTTTATCAGAAGAGTCTAAATATTTTATTTAAAAAGTACATATAACTCGGAAAATGTCACATTGGTACTTGACATAGAGGGAGAAACGGTGCCTTCACCTTCAAACCACCAGATCTTAAGCTCAAGAACCCATAATAAGCAACAACTTTAAAGATGTTACTCACCCACAAACTCTGAACTTTACGATTTATCGACGGAAATATATTAATTTAAAGACTTGGAACTGTTTTAATTTAGCTTGATATTCGTGGTTTAATTTAAAATGTTTTACTTATTCGTAAGTTGGAAATTTCTATTTGAATAAGTTGGATACCAGGTTAAGTCTGAGGCTTTTAAGTATTCATAGAAAAGCTTATAAGAATCCCTTGTAGTTAGTTTTGCAAGTACACAATTGCTATCTTGTTCCATGAATATATTTATCATCAGCCTATAAATGGCCACTGCTGAGCAAAGGCCTTTTCTCACGCAGAGATCGTAAAAGCATTAAACGCCACTCGAAAGATACATTCCTTTATCGTGACAGAATAATCTTAGAAAGTACATCATGACTCGAAAAAGTTACATTAGTACTCGCCAGATCTCAAATCCGTTTCCTCATGCATTAGAAGCGACATCAACCAGGCCACCTCGATGGTCATTGAAGAAAAATTTAGGGGTGCCTATATTGAGCTCAAAAATGGTCCAAAAATATTTCGTATCAAAGGACCAGAATACACTCTTATCTCTGTATTTACAACACAATTCTTATGTTGTCTTTTAGAAATTGTATGTAATAAGTGATCTACTTATTTCGGATTACTGTGAAAATAAGATGTTATATAGAAAAACGTAGGTGCAAAGCCCTAGAATAACAAATTCCCAGCTCGCATGCCTACCCTTCTTGAGAAAAACAAAATTTATTCGCCGTATGATACTGTCGAAGAAAATATATTTGTTGATCCCTAGATCAAACATGACATTATGTATAAAATTTGTTGTTTAATAGAAATATTTTTGGTGCTTTGAAATGTAATTGATAAGTAATACAATAATCCAGTCCACCTTGTACGCAGATTTATGTGCAAAAGAATGAATAAGTAAATAAATAAAGAAATAATTTGATATTGATTACTACGAGTATCATTTGTTTTTTTCTTAAAGTACTAGTCATAACATTTTGCTAGCACAAGTAGTAGTGCTTAGATAATGGGTTTACTCTGATTGGGATCTATAAGAATTTAAATGTACTTTCTAAAAGTTGAATCGATAATTTTTTTTTAAACTAGCTACCCGTCCTAGGTTCGCACGAGGGTGCGAAAATTAGGTCTTCAGTAACCTCACTCACACGGCTAAACAAAGTGCTGTGATTTTTTCACGCCAGTTCTCTGTGAGGCCTTGGTATCAGTTCAGTCCAGCTGACCCATCCATGCCTTAGTAATACATATATAGAAGGATGATACTCTACTTCATTGAACTAAGACATTTACAGTACTAGTGCATCAATAACTTAAATTAAAGCTGGTCATTTGAAAATAAGTATGGACGCAAAAAACCTGACAAACATAATTGCTCCGAAGTTTCCTGGAATCGTGGCCTTAAGGGGAGTTACAAAAGAACAAATACGTTTTTGTAATTGTAACTCTCTGCGACCGTTAACCTTTGGTAGACCTTTGTTTCAACCGCTTTACAAACCGCAGATTTTTGGTACAAATGAAAAAAGACTGCGTAAATTGGTAGTATTTTCTTCAGTTTGATTAAGGACCTTTAAAGTCGCCAATAGTGATTTGACGAGTTAATTTTAAATATTTTTTTTATGTAATAACAGGTCGGCAAACGAGCAGACGGATTACCCGATGGTAAGCAATCAGCGCTGCCCATGGATACCCGCAACAGAGGATTAAGGATTTGGAGATTTAGAGATCGGGGAGGAGAAGGATTGGGCCTCCAGTAACCTCACTAACACGGCGGAACACAACGCTGTGGTTGTTTCACGCCGTTTTTCTGTGAGGCTGTGGTATCACTCCGGTCGAGCCGACCCATTCCTGCCGAAGCCTGACTCTTCCACACTTAAAACGTATAGATATTAGCTAAATTGTTTTCTTACGTGAATTGTATATTACTTTTAGACGTCTTTTATTGTGTTCTTTTGTTTTTAAGTGAGACCATGGCCAACGGGCAGAGAGTTTAACTGATGGAAAGCAATCGGAACTATAGAAGACGTGGGTATAAGGGGATTCGTGGATATAGCCGGGCAGGAGGGAGTGTCAGACTCTTACTGACTAAAAACCCCCCTGTTCCTTCTCCTGCTCTATGCCGAGGTCGCGGTGCCTCATTGCGCTTACCCTGCAACCCCGGCTGAACATCAGCCCTATGGGGCCCCGTCTGTGGTGGTCTAATGGCTCTTTGAGGCGCGGGCGGAACGCTACGCGCCGTACGCTCGGGATTTGTGGATATAGGGATTGGGCATGGAGAACGGGGAAAGGAGAAGGATTTAGTCCCCGGATATCTTACTCACATTGTAATTCAATTATATCCTGCTTGATACTACATCAAATAACGACAAAAGTTAAAAAACACACCACCTAATAAATCAGTTTCTTTTGTTTTTTATCGTAATTCTTGTAAAACTTGTGACAGATTGCTAATTATGTTAGCTTTTAATTTCTTCAGGAAGCCAAAAGTTTAATTCCACGAATGTTTGAGCGAATGCCTGCGGACCAAATCTGAATGTGAAATTCTACAAACAGAAAAACATGGGGGTTTACCTTTACGATTTTTTTATTTTGCTACCAGCCATTTTGATTTTTTTTTTCGGTCCGCTAATGAATTTTTGTGTCTTGTGACAGTTTATTAATTCTCGAAATTAATTATTTTTTTTCTATTCGAATTTCAAATAATAATTTTATACAGGTATTATTCTAAAAATCAAAAGGATTTTCCTTTATTGAGATGAAAAGGCAATTTTGCGCTTTACTGGTCATTTTGCTAAAATACTTTTTAGTCCCTTCAGCCTGAGGCTTTGGCGTTTTATGTCGAATACTGTAAAGATGTACCCTAATATATTAGGAAAGTACGTTGTTCTCGTTTCATGAATTATTTTTTACAAATACTGGCACGTGTTTAGTTTTTCGAACCCAGGCGATGACTGCCACGTCCCATGGTGAGAAAATCCCATCATGCCTAATTACTTATAAGAACCGTATCACTAACAATACCATAAAAAGTATTTTCAGTCTTCCTATGACCAATTGTGTATTGTATCCTTTTTTTATGTGATAGGACGGCAAACGAGCAGACGGATTACCTGATGGTAAGCAATCAGCGTCGCCCATGGACACCCACAACACAGAAGGAGTGCGTTGCCGACCTTTTAGGGATTGGAATTTGGGGATTTAGGGATTGGGAAGGGATTGGGCCTCCGGTAACCGCACTCACACGGCGAAACACAACTTTGTGGTTGTTTCACGCCGGTTTTCTGTGAGGCCGTGGTATAACTCCGGTCGAGCCGACCCATTCGTGCCGAAGCATGGCTCTCCCACACTTATATATCCATATATATCCATTATTCAAATAAGAAAAATGGAGCTCATCTTTACAAAAATTTAACAGACTACCAAGCTATAAAACAAAAAGGCAAGCATAATTAATATTCGCCACGGGTTCTTTTAAAAGGCGTCGAAGTTTTAGCACATGCCCCATAGAAAAGATAACTCGTAAATCTTTGAAAACTTTTAGGAGCTGTGTTCAAGACTGTTGGAATTTCCTAGAAAATGGTACAATACGACCTGCTTTAGATATTATATAATGATTTTGGAACATCGCAGAGTACAAGGGTTTTATAGTCTTTTAATTTTTTATTTATTTATTTATATGTATAGACTTTATCGTACACATTACTTAAAATTCTACAAAGAGCAGGCTTACAACTAATAAATACTATATAAATTTACAATTTTATCAAAATTTGAAAAATAATGGCCGTTATTCGAAGCCAACCAATACCAAAATCAAAACCAGTACCAAAATAAACAAAAAAGAAAATATATACAACAAAAGTAGTACAGAAATAAATTATAAGGCATTTAGATATTTATATAGGTATTTTTTCAATTTAAACCTTTTTTGTAAAAATATTAAAGACACTATAAATTGGAATATAAATTAAATAAGATGATGGTGTAGGTGTAGGTCTACTTAGAGTAAATAGATTAGAAAAATAGTTTCACTAAAGGACTGACCGACAGGCTGACACCTTTTAACATTTTATTTTTAATAATTTTGTTTTACGTTCCAATCTCTTTTTGTGTGTTTGATGGGTGACGAAGGGTGTAGACACAATAAAAGACTGGCGACGACTAACTTATGTATTGTCTCTTAGCACACGACAATTTTACAGAGAGTGTTCGGACAGACTGCCCATTGCTTATATATTTAAGTACGTACTAAATACAAACATAGCTTACGTTACAACATTACACATCTTTAGTATACGTTACACCGTTACACTACTCCCCCCTCTTTTTTAAAAGAATCACTTCTTTTACAAAACAAACCAGAAAATTTTTTTTTAATTATCACTTAACATAACATTACAGCTAAAATTATTACAATACATTTACTATTATTATAAAGTACACATTTGTTTTACAGTTGTCGGAAATTTGATAGGTTTTACACAAATACACTCACTTAAATCACTGTCAGACCTTGACTTTAAACTTCTTCATTTTGGGTGGTTTCAGCAGTCTGCTTTCGTCTAAAACTTTTACGAGCCGCTTCGAAAGCGGTCGACTGCAGAGATTGCATCTGCTTGGTCAACCAACTTTTCCATGTACCGATACACCGACGAAAAATTAGGCATAAACATCCTATGCCTATGAGCGCCAAAATCGAAGACCAACCAATGAACGTCATTAGATTTGCGTCGTAGCCTTTGTTCGTCTGGGGAGCAACAAGGGCTGCGGATTTGACCTCGTCCTTGACTACGTAGTTTCCCATGACTAAGTATGATACGTTATGTCAGACAGAAGTCAGAACTAATATTAACTTATTACTATATACTTACTTATAAATCGAAACGTACGGGTCTTTTGCTGACTCGACCGCTGCGCGTTGTATGTAAAGGTGGGTTTACATTAGCGGGCGCGGAGCGATCCTTGCTAACCGGCGTTATAGGACTCGGACTTACGTTTATTTCTCTATTATCTAACTTATTGCTATTACTTACCGTATTGCTCGATATTGGTTCTTTGCACAAATATGCGGGTTTGAGTCGATCAATAGATATATATGCCGTCCGACCTAAGAAATCTATCAGATACGTCTTATCTTTTCTATCTAAGACTCTAAAGGGACCATCGTAGGGAGGTTCCAAAGGTCTCCTCACTCTATCATTTCGAACAAATACGTGTGTGCACTTATCTAAATCCGCGTATACGAATAATGTGCGAGCGTCCTTATGTCGCATCGGTTTCGGTTTCAAGTTCGTAATAATGTTTCGTAATCTTTCTACATATTGACAATGATCTAAAATTTTAGAGTTCGCGTCACTACAAAAATCTCCAGGTAAACGTAATGCAGTGGCGAAAGTTAATTCTGCAGCACTAACACCAGTATCCTCTCGAATGGCGGCACGTAAACCTAGCAAAACTATTGGTAATTCGTCTACCCAAGTAGTTGAGTTTAGCCTTGCCATAAGAGATGCTTTTAAAGAACGGTGCCAGCGCTCAATCATCCCGTTCGACTGCGGATGATAAGGCGTAGTTCTCTTCTTATCAATGCCTAAATATCGCATGAGTTCTTTAAAAATGCTACTCTCGAATTGTCTGCCCTGGTCGCTTGTCAGCTTAACAGGACATCCAAAACGTGTTATCCATCCCTCTAATATCACTTTAGCCACAGTCTCCGCTGTGATATCCTTTGTAGGATACGCTTCGGGCCAACCCGTTTGGCGATCTATTATAGTAACTAAGTACCTATAATCATGTAGAGAAGTGGGTAAGGGGCCTACGATATCAACATGGATATGAGAGAATCGCTCTGCTAGTGGAAAACGTCCTAATTCAGTTTTTATATGCCTGGATACTTTTGCACGCTGACATTTAACGCAATTTTTTGCCCATTTGCCTATGTCACTATTCATCCCGTCCCAGAAAAATCTTTCCTTGACTAATTTTCGCGAAGTACGGATTCCTGGGTGACTTAAGTTATGCACTGATTCGAACGCTTGCCTCCTAAAGCTTAGCGGTATATACGGGCGAACCTTATCTGTTGACGTTTCACACGTTACCGGTAGGTCGCTTCCAGGTATCACTATGTCTTTGAATATTAAATTACATTTGTTATTGTTACATTGATTGCGCATTAAATCCAAGTGTGCATCGTTAGCTTGCGCTTGGGCGATCGCGGCGTAATCTAATGCTGTAGCACATGTTATTGTTTCTAACCGCGATAATGCATCTGCTACGACATTCTTGTCGCCATCTATATGCCTTATGTCAGTAGAGTATTCACTGATATAGAGAATTTGCCTAACGCGACGCGGTAATTCATTATCCGAATTGGACTTTTTGAACATGAAGGTTAATGGTTTATGATCCGTATAAATAATCAAATGTCGTCCTTCAATCATATTCTGAAAATATTTAATGGCTAAATACATTGCTAGTAGTTCTCTATCAAATGTACTGTATTTAGTTTGCGGAATTGACATTTTCTTTGAAAAATAGCCTAATGGTATCCATTTATTGTTTACAAACTGTTGGAGAACGGCTCCCACGCAGGTGTTGGATGCATCAGTCATAAGCGCGAAAGGAGTATCGGGTTGCGGATACAATAACGTCACGGCGCCTTGTAGCGCTGCCTTACACCGTGAGAATGCCTCGTTTGCACTTTCTGTCCATTCTATTCGTGTTCTGTCTTTTTTCTTTGATTTAATTAAGTATTTATTTAAATGACTTTGATATTCTACTGCATGAGGTAAATGTAAACGATAAAAATTAACCATTCCTAAAAATCGTCTAAGCTGTTCGATAGTTACTGGTTTTGGAAAACTATTTATAGTATCCATTTTCTCCTGTAGAGGTCGAATACCTTGCGTGGAAACTTCGTATCCTAGAAAATCTATTTTCGTTTTACCAAACAGACATTTTTCTAAATTTATAGTTAAGCCAAATTTATTTAAACGACTGAAAACTTCGCGTAAATGCTGTTCATGTTGAATTTCACTTTTGCTAAATATTGCGACGTCATCGATATAGCAGTAAACGTAATCTAAACCATATAGGACTGTGTGGTTCATAAACCTTTGAAAGGTTTGCGCGGCGTTCTTTAGCCCGAATGTCATTCGGGGAAATTCAAATAAGCCAAAAGGTGTGATAATGGCAGTCTTTTCCACATCGTCAGGATTTACTGAAATAAAATGATATGCACGACAAATATCAATACGTGAAAATATTTTCGCGTCAGCTAGAGAGTACGTAAAATCGTGTAGTCGTGGGATAGGATAACGATCAGCTTTGGTTATTGCGTTAAGCGCTCTATAGTCCCCGCAAGGACGTAACTGACCATTTTTCTTCATGACAATGTGTAAAGGACTTGCCCACGCACTCTTAGATGGTCTGCAAATCCCCAACTCCTGCATTATTCTAAATTCTTCCCTTACCTTAGCGTAGCGATGAGGCGGCAATGGTCTGCATCGTGCGTGTACTGGCGGGCCGCTGGTTTCTATGAAATGCAACACCGAATGTTTTGGTGGCTCTTTAAAAGAAATAGGTTTAGTAATATCCGGGAATTCAGAGAGCAGATCATGATAAGGATGACTTACATCGACGGTTTTGATTGATGACTCGTTACTACTTACTATGGAAGCCAGGACTTTCAATTTTGTGACTTCGTCAATTAATCTACGAGCACTTATATCCACTAAAAGCTTAAAGTTCGCTAAAAAATCGGCACCTATAATAGGCTGATGCACATCGGCTATCACAAATGTCCACCGTAATGCACGACGTAAACCTAGATCTAACACTAAACTTTTGACACCATAAGTCTTAATTTTAGTTCCGTTGGCGGCGAATAGGCAATAGTCTTGACACTCACGATTTTGATTGTTTTTTAATACTAATTTACCGGGTAGCACTGAAATATTAGCACCGGTGTCTACTAAAAAACTTAACCCGCTGTTGCGATCCGTGACTCGGAGGCGGTGGCAAGGGGCGATGGTACAAACCTCCGCCGCGGTTGGTACCTGAACTAGTTTTCCGGAGACGATTTCCAGGAACAGGGCTCATTGCATTTCCTTGCCTTTGCTCTGAACCGATGATGGTAGAAACATAACCAATCTGGGCTTTCAGGAGTTCTACGCTGCGCAGATCGTGCTCGGCTACCGGTTCTGGATGCTGATCTCGAACGATTCCAATTCCGTTGCTGATACCTCGATCTAGACTTCGACCTTTCCAATTGATCAATTTTCAGAGTAAGTTTAGCTATTTCGGCCATGATGAGGTCTGTTTCCTTCGAAGGGTTTGACTGTTGCTGGCTAACTTCGCTTACATGGGATGCGCGCGTGGTTTCAAACACATTATCTGCTACGACGGCCAAGCCATCGAGATCCTTCGAATCTGTGACCGCTAGAACTGCTCGTACCGGAGACGGTAGATGACCTTGCCACATCATCTTTAAGGTGTCGTCGGGAATTTTCTCTTTGGCTAATTCTCGCATGCGACGTAAGAGCTGGGAAGGTTTTTGGTCCCCCAGGTCCATTTCACTAATTAATTTTTGTAGCTGACGGTTTTTCGATTCTTCATAAATAGTTAGAAGTCGTACCTTCAGTGTGTCGAATTTCTTTCCTTCTGGTGGATCCATTAAAAGATCTGTGACCTGCTGGATGGCCTCCTTTGATAGTTTCGACACGACAATGTCGAAGCGCGAGTCGTCCGATAATTTTTGAGGCGCCAGCATGGCTTCTATTCGGTAGAACCAAACGCGAGGCGAGTCAACCCAAAATTCGGGGATCTTCGATGTAAGAGTAATTGCTGCGAGATCCACTGATGGTTCTGGTGTACTTTTAGCCATGTTGTTCACTGTCTACACTAACACAATTGCCGAAAAATGATCACGTCGGAGTCACCAATTTGATGGGTGACGAAGGGTGTAGACACAATAAAAGACTGGCGACGACTAACTTATGTATTGTCTCTTAGCACACGACAATTTTACAGAGAGTGTTCGGACAGACTGCCCATTGCTTATATATTTAAGTACGTACTAAATACAAACATAGCTTACGTTACAACATTACACATCTTTAGTATACGTTACACCGTTACATGTGTATTTTAGATTTGATTTGAAAAAGAAAAATGAGACTTATTCCTTGTTAAATAAGTAACATATTTGGTATAACTACGTTCTACCTTTGCACTTTGGGAAAACAGGTTTAATATTATATTATCCTATGTTAACTTAACCACGTTTACGTATATAATATTTCTTCTTTCTCTTTAGCTAATTAAAACTTTTTCCTACACAGAAAACAAGGAAAATGAATCTAAATTACTGTTTTTTTGGAAAAAAATACAATTATGTAAATCAGTCGGACATTTTTAAGGGTGCTCGGTTTCTAGGGTAGCTGTTTTGCATTTTTTAAGCTAAGTGTGTGCGGTCAAGCCTATCGTTGACATCCTTATTACATTGTAACGTACTTACCTGTGTCACAAGTACGTTTTTCAATAAAAATAGGAACCAAACGAGCATTCGGAAAACATAATGTTAGGCTACCATCGCCGCAATCATAAGCATTAATGGAGTTTCAAGTGCGTCGCCGGTTTTTTTTTTCTGAGGGGAAAATCATCATATGACTTCTCCCGCCCAGGGCCGGGCGGGAGGGAGTGTCAGACTCTTACTGACTAAAAACCCCCCTGTTCCTTCTCCTGCTCTGTGCCGAGGTCGCGGTGCCTCATTGCGCTTACCACGCAACCCCGGCTGAACATCAGCCCTTTAGGGCCCCGTCTGTGGTGGTCTATTGGCTCTATGAGGCGCGCGCGGAACGCTACGCGCCGCCGTTCACTCTTTTTTTTTTTTTTTTTTTTTTTACTTGCAATAAACCAGTGCTTGACTGCGATCCCACCTGATGTTAAGCAGTGATGCAATCGTTGATGGTAAGGCGCACTAGTTTATTAAGAGCCTATTCACTCTAGCCTTGAAGACACCTAAGTTGTATTCGGACGGAAAGACTGCAGCCGGCAAACTGTTCCAATCCCTCGATGTACGCGGTATAAATGACGAGGCAAAACGCTTAGTCCGGGCCGCAGGTGTCTCAACAACGTAGGGGTGGATATTCGCCGTACGCCGGGATGTCCGAAGGTGAAATTGGGATGGCGGAATCAAATCGTGCAATTCCTGGGCACACTCTCCAAAATGTATCCTGTAGAAAACCGCAAGGCTGGCTACTCTGCGCCTGTGCTCGAGACTTTGAATATTGGACCCAACCAAATCTGGATCTCCAATCAGCCTCATTGCACGCCTTTCCACCGAATCCAAAGCCGCTAGGTGGCATTTCGCAGCACCAGCCCATATGTGGCTGCAGTACTCCACACACGATCGGACCTGAGCTTTATACAACATTAGAAGCTGACTCGGTGTGAAGTACCGTCGGACTTTTGCAAGAACGCCGAGTTTTCTAGCAGCTACCTTGGCTCTGGACTCAATGAACCGCCCAAAGTTGAGGTCTGAAGCAATGTCCATTCCCAAGAGCTGAAGGCGGTCGGTGCACTCCAGGGATACATCCCGAAAAAGCAGGAGCCAAGGTGAACGGGCTCCTTTTGGCGGTGAATAGACACGCCTGTGTTTTGGTGGCGTTGAATGTTACCAGATTAGTTTTGCCCCACTTTGAAACTACCTGAAGTGAGACATTCGTACGCTCTACCATAGCCTCCCTTTCAGACTGGATTAGCTCCTTACTAGCCCGAGCACTGGGCAGGTATCTCTCTACAACTGTGCTATCATCTGCATACCCAAGGATACCAGGCACTAGCAGATCATTAATGTGGAGCAGGAATAGAGTTGCAGAGAGAACAGACCCCTGAGGAACACCGGCATTAGTCGACATAGGCTCTGATGAGCATCCATCGATAACAACTCGGAGTGACCGTCCACTCAGGAAGTCTTTTACCCAGTTTATCAGTCCAGGAGAAATGCCGTACGCTGGAAGCTTAGACAAAAGGCCATCGTGCCATACCCTATCGAAGGCCTTCGACACGTCTAAGGACACGGCAATAGCTTCCCCATTCCTCTCGAGGGCCTCGCCCCACAAGTGAGTGGCATAAACTAGTAGGTCCCCAGTAGACCGGTTGCGGCGAAATCCATACTGTCGGTCGCTGAGGAGATCGTTACCTTCTAGATATGCCATGAGGCGCGAATTCAACACTCGCTCCATAATCTTGCAGAGTATGGAGGTTATCGAAATCGGCCGATAGTTGGCAGGATCGGCACGACTGCCCTTCTTGGGCACGGGTTGCACGTTGGCGAGCTTCCAGGACTTTGGCACAATACCAGTCCTAAATGAGAGGCGATACAGGCGCGTCAATACAGGAGACAACTCGGGCCTGGTTCTGGTCGGGCGGCGAGCTGCCCTTACTCGCCGACCGCAGGCCCGTGCTTACGGTGGCCGGAGATCATCCCTTGATCCCCGACGCCCGTAGTGTCGCCAGTTGCGGCTGCTGGGGCGTGAGGAGGAGGATTGCTCCCTCAAGCGGGCCGCCTCTCTTTGCGAGCATGACTGCTTCACAAAAGGAGGAGACGGCGTCCCAGTTCCTCTCACTTCGCACCATGGCCTCGACTAAGGCCGGGCGCGAGAGGTCGCCGCCGCCGATCACTTCCCTGAGGATACGGCGGTGCTCAGCCCAGGCAGGGCATACCGCTACCGTATGCTTCACCGTATCCTCTAGGTGGTCCTCACAATGACGACACTCGGGCGTTTCCTCCCGCTGGATCCGAAACAGGAACCTACCGAAGCTGCCGTGCCCGGTAAGCACCTGCGTCAGGCGGAAGGTGAGGACGCCGTGGCGTCTCTCAAGCCACTCCTCAAAGAGGGATCTTACCGCTGCTATAGTAGCGTGCCCGAAGTGCGTCGCCGGTTAAGGCTTTAAGGATTCGAGGATCGGAGATTAGTTGAAGATTAGAGATAGGAGAAGTTTTTTGTGGCATCGAAACTTTACTTTACTTGTTTCTTTCAAACTAGTAGGAAGAAATATATGGGTAAATCTTACTCATATTATAAATGCGAAAGGATGTTTGTTACTCAATCACGCCAAAACGGCCAGACGGATTTGGATGAAATTTGGCACAGGCAAAGGATACATTTCGGGATAGGACATAGGCTACACTGCTACTGCTTTTTATCAACAAAGCCGCGGGCGGAAGCTAGTTGTCTATAATATTTTTTCAATATTTGAGAATTTTCGACCTTTTATAATTTGAGAAAATTGTAAAATTGCTAAAGGCCACATGCTGTCAAAGATTTGAAACATAGGTATCGTTTAAATGTAAAAATACTCTTGTTTTGAATCTGTCATATGTCACCCTCGTCTTTGATTCAATAGGTGGTATACCTATACCTATATTCGCTACAAGACAAATAATTGATTTCCTCTTTGTCTTGTAGTTTTTCTTTATTTCTTTTTTATATTTCTTCAAAGTTATGAAGTTTTCTTAAAACAGAACTCTTATAGTTCATACAAAAGAAATACAGGTCATGTTGGTAGTTTATTAGAAAAGTTAACGTTAAACAAATAAGAACTGTCTAACACTGATGAAGTTTACAAACATTAGTTAAAACTTTAACAGAACAGCTCGTAGATGTCAGAAACAGGTCATTTGGTTTTCGAAGTTAAAACAGTGGGAACTGCTGTATTTTTGCTCATCAGACAAGTTTGAATGTGGGAGAGCCGTGCTTCGAGGCTGGTTCAACTGGAGTCATGCCAAAGACACACAGAAGACCATCAAGGAATAATACTTGCGACCAAGGAAATGAAAGATCCAATATTACAAAACTTACATTTACCTAACTAACAAAATCTAGACCTCATAGCTTAGTAATATCCGATTAAACGGCGCGTAGCGTTCCGCGCGCGCCTCAAAGAGCCAATAGATCACCACAGACGGGGCCCTAAAGGGCTGATGTTCAGCCGGGGTTGCGGGATAAGCGCAATGAGCCACCGCGACCTCGGCACAGAGAAGGAGAAGGAACAGGGGGGTTTTTAATCAGTAAGAGTCTGACACTCCCTCCTGCCCGGCCCTGGGCGGGAGAAGTCATTTGATGATTTTCCCCGCACAAAAAAAAAATAGCTTAGTAATATTTTTTCACTAAATAGTATAAAACAATGTCGCTATCGCTGTCCCTATAATATTATCACTGTCTATGCTTACAATGCCTACATCTCTAAACGCTACTACGCTTGGGATTTTAATGGAGTTTTTTAGTAGATTTAGTGATTGAAAAGTTAGTTTTAAATGTATAACAACATCCATTAAATAGTGGATAAATTTTTTCAGCATTGCACCCGTGCGGAGTCGGGCGGTTCGAGTTTATAATAATTTTAAGTCCATTATTAAGGATATAAGTAAGTTTTAGCAAATTACTGTCTTGTTAAGTTTTTTTTAAAGTCTTGGTGGTCTGGAGGTTGATGCTGCTCAATGTTTCTTATGCATGAGAGTACGGGTTCGAAACCTGGTAAGTATCAGTGTGATTCTTTCCGAGTTATATGTACTTTCTATGATGATTTAGACATTACTGTCACACGGTGAAGAAAAACATCGCGAATAAGCCTAAACTTATAATTTCTACTCATAAGTTTGAAATCACCAATCCACCTTGAGCAAGCGTGGTGATTAATACTCTAACCTTCTCTGTGTGAGAAGAGGCCTTTGCTCAGCAGTGGGCACTTATAGGCTGATGATGATGATGAATGCACCTTGAGCAAGCGTGATGATTATTATTCAAATTCGACTGACTGCACGATTGACGCAGTGGCTGGGCAACTGGTTGTTGTGCAATGTGTCGCGGGATTGATCCC